AAAGATGGCCTCGGGTCCCTTTCTCCTCCTGCCTAATTCCCTTTTTTTAAATTTTTTTTGCCTTAAGTGGAGAGGTGCCATGGACTCTCCTAAAACGCAGCCTTCCTTTCCATGTGGCCGGGCACATCGTCCGTGGGGGGTCAGGCAGCCCCTCCAATGGCGGCAGGGCCATTAACCAGGCCGCGGCAACAGGAAGCATCCCCGCTAAGTGACAGGCCTTCTCCGAAGCCCCAGCCACGGCCTCCATCATCTTGATGTGGGGCTGGCAGAGCGTGTCATCGTCCACAAATGGGTTGTGTCCTCGGGCCCTCCGGACACGCCGAACGTCCCAATTGTGCGCGCCACTGATGGAGAGGCCTCTGGGGAAGGGGAGGGGGGAGGGCAGCGCGGTTGCAAGGGTAAAGGAGGGGAGGGGAGGGAGGCTTGGGCTGCCGAGTCCTGCCGTTGGGGACTTTCAGTTGTGACGGAGCTGGTTGACGCAGTTTTGGGATGGATGGTGTCCCCAGCTTCCTTAAACCCCATTGAAGAGAATATTTGCACTTCCAGGGTTGAAATGAGGGCTCCTTGGCACTCCCCGAGCTTGGTGCTTTTCTTGCAGACGTTTCATGACCCAACTAGGGAACATCATCAGTGCTAGAAGGGAATGGTGTCTTTGGAGAGGATGAAAAGGGGGAGGGGGAGAAGGAGGGGGAGGAGAGAGGAAGGAGGAAGAGGAAGAGGAGGAAAAAGAGGAGGAGGACTGCGGGGTCCTTGGTTCTCTCTGAGCTTGGTGTTTTTCTTGCAGACATTTCGTGACCCAACTAGAGAACATCATCAGTGCTACAAGGGAGTGCCCTCTGAGCTTGGTGGTTTTCTTGGAGACGTTCCATGACCCAACTAGGGAACATCATCAGTGGTAGAAGGGAGTGGGGTTTGCAGAGAGGAGGAGGAGGAGGAGGAGGTGGTGGAGGAGGAGGAGGAGGAGAACTGAGGGTTCCTAAGCTCTCTGAGCCTGTTTGTTTTCTTTCAGACGTTTCATGACCCAACTAGATAATAACATCAGTTACTTAGGACAGGGTGAGGTTTCAGAGAGGAGGAAGAGGAGGAGGACAATTGTGGGGTCCTGGTTTGCAAAGCTCAGCTAAAAAGTTTATAAGTAAAGGAAGATTTGTAGCATGAAGGGTAGTTCCTGTTTTGAAAACCAGTACAGAAAGTCCTCAATTTACGCCCACAATTGAGCCCAAAATTTCTGTTGCTAAGCGAGACAGTTGAGTGAGTTTTGCCCCCTTTTATGACCTTTTTGCCACCGTTGTTAAGTCAATCTCTTCAGTTTGGTTCAGTTAGTAACACGGTTTTGTTAAGCGAATCTGGCTTCCCCCATTGATTTTGCTTGTCAGGAGTTCGCAAAAGGAGTTCACACACTGCAGCCGTCATAAATACGAGTCAGTTGCCAAATGTCTGAATTTTACTGCCATCGTAACTTTCAACAGTCACTCGATGAACTGTCGTAAGTCGAGGGCTACCTGTATACATTGTCCCGTGTCTGACCTATTGGGTTTTTTGTTCCCATCAGAGAGTGTAGAAATTGGAGAGAAAGGGATTACAAGAGAGTAAGCAAGTGGTGAACAGACCGGAGCATGTGATAACTTATTTTACCATCATCACAGCTTTGTGGGTTCAATTTTGGACGCAATTGCGGGCTCAATTTACAGTTGTAAGTCAAAGACTATCTGTATACATTGTCCCGTAAATGACCTATTGGTTTTTATTCCCATCGGAGAGTGTAGAAATTGGAGAGGAAGGGATTACAAGAGAGTGAACAAGTGGTGAACAGACCGGACCATGTGATAACTTATTTTACCACCATCACGGGTTTGTGGGTTCAATTATGGGGTGCTCAATTTACAGTTGTAAGTCAAGGACTACCTGTAACGTTCAAGAGGGGAGGAAGACCCATTTCTGAAAGGCTCCGGGTTTCAAAAGCAATGAGTCACTAATTTCTGGGGCAAAGGAGATTTCCTTTTCATGGGGGATTCTGGGAGTTGAAGTCCCATCATATTAAAACATGCTAGTGGGGGATTCTGGGAGTTGAAGTCCATCCATCTTAAAACTTGCTTGCTGGGGGATTCTGGGAGTTGAAGTCCCATCATATTAAAACATGCTAGTGGGGGATTCTGGGAGTTGAAGTCCATCCATCTTAAAGCTTGATGGCTGGGGGATTCTGGGAGTGGAAGTCCCCTCATATTAAACCATGCTAGTGGGGGATTCTGGGAGTTGAAGTCCCATCATGTTAAAACATGCTAGTGGGGGATTCTGGGAATTGAAGTCCACCCATCTTAAAACTTGCTGGCTGGGGGATTAAAAACCCCCAGTGGTGAAGCGCCCAGAACTTCTGGTGGCAAGCTGTTCCACTGGTTAATTGTCCTCACTGTTAGGAAGTTTCTTCTTAATTCCAGGTTGCTTCTTTCCTTGGTTAGTTTCCATCTGTTACTTCTTGTCCTGGTCCTTCAGGTACTTTGGAGAATAGGTGGATCCCCCCCCCTTTTGGGGGGGGGGCAGCCTCTCAAATATTGGAACCCTGCTATAATGTCACCCCTGCTCCTTCTTTTCATTGAAGTAGACCTACCCAATTTCTGCAACCGTTCTTTGTATGTTTTAACCTCCAGAACCCTAATCCTCCACCTAGATTATCACAAGGAAATATTTGCCTTTTATGATAACTGCACATCTAATTCAAATTATTCCCTCTTTAACTTCTGCCGGATCCGATCCCGGGGAGAACCTAATCCATCCACCAGGACTAGCTGGTTTCTTTGGATACTTTTTCAAAGCATCTCCAGACCTTCACTTAGTCGAGCAGGGAGAAGAAATTGACTCGAGGCCCTTCTAGACGCCCCAAGAGATCTTTGATGTGTTTCAGGACAAAGACTATTAAAATAGGATTAAGACATGAGAGGGTTGGAAATATACACAATATACAGTTTTCAAGGAAAAATAGCTAATAATCAAGAACAGAAAATGCTTTGAAAGATCACGATTCTGAATTGTGGGGTTCTATTGCCATCTGGTGGCCACCATGCATAACAGCAGCCATATAACTGATATTTACATGAAATAGTTTTTGCAATGGGGACCAGAATTTCCATCATTAAAGCAAGAATCGTTAACTGAGCCCTGCCCAATTTTACTCCCTTTCCTCCTGCCACAGTTGTTAAGTGAAATACTGCAGTTGTTAACTGAATAATATGGTCGTTAAGCAAATCTGGCTACCTTTACTGACTTTTGGAAATCATAAATACATGTCTGAATTTTGATCACGTGACTGTCGGGATAATTGTGAAAATCAGTTGAATATTAATTTAAAATTTAATATTAAATTAGATAAAACATTAAGAGGTTTCAGACAGATTGAAGAAACTGGATTGGGAGGAGGAAAATCATCCCCAACTGTCCAAACTACAGGTAGTCCTCAACTTGCAACCATTCATTTAGTGACCGATGTCACAACGGCACTGAAATGACTTAGGACTGCTTTTCACACCTATGACCATAGTAGTATCCCCGTGGTCAGATAATCAAAATTCAGAAGCTTGGCAACCGACTCGTATTTATGACGGTTGCAGGAATCACATGATCCCCTTTAGCGACCTTCTCATAAGCACAGTCAACGGGATAGCCAGATTCACTCAGCAACCACCTTACTCACTGAACCGCAGTGATTCACTTAATGACGGTGGCAAAAAAAGTTCGTCCAGTGGGGCAAAACTCCCTTTTTTAATGACTGTCTCGCTTAGCAACAGAAATCTGAGGCCCCTTGGAGGTCGTAAGGCGAGGACTAGGCATTATGACGCAAAGCATGGGAATCTCATCCCTGCAATTGCAAAATCCCTCATCCTCTCAAGCAGTCACCAAAGGGTTGGGGGCAACCTAAAAGACAGAAACCCCCCCCTCAAAATTATATGCTTCGAGAGATCGGACGCCCCCACCCCAAGCATGGGACACAACCAACATCGCCTCAGAATCCCAAAGCATCTCCCAAAACGACAGACCAGGATTTCGGTTTTTAAAAAAATTATTGCTTTATTTTTATTATTATTATTATCATTATTATTATTTTTTTAAAAAAAGGACCTAAAGTTTTCAAAGAACCGGGGATTTTCAAGTGATTCTTCTTCGTGCGGACAAACGCAGGCGTCTCTTCCAAGAATATACGTCGCAAAGTCATCTAAGGCGGAGGGGATCTCCAAACTTGGCGACTTTTGTGGACTTCAACTCCCAGAATCCCCCAGCCAGCCATGAATTCTGGGAGTTGAAGTCCACAAGTCTTTAACTTCTGGGTAATTGATGAAGTCTACGAGCCTCAACCTCTGGAATTCTGGGAGTTGAAGTCCATGAGTCTTAAAAGTCGCCAACTTTGGAGACCCCCGGTCTAAGGGGATAGCAAAAAGGAGCAAACAAAATTGGGGGGGGAGAGAAAGGGAAAGAGCCAGAAGGTTCCGATTCGGGACCCCCACCCCCCCGCAAGCTAGCTTTCAGCTGTCGAAAGAACCTTCTAGCAACACAGTGGCATCCCCGCACATTGGGGTGAGGGAAGCATTTGGGGCAGGAATGCCAGCATCCGGCAGGGCAGGAGCGGGCTACTCAGAGGTCATCAGTGCGTCTCAAAGGAGAGGAGGGGGGGTCTTTCCAATGGGGTGCAGGCGGCTTGGTCCCCCAAGCACCAGTGCTCAACGCCATTCTTGAGAGTAAAAATATCCGTTTTTTTTTTCATTCTGCCTCAGGCACCTATCCATAAGGAAGCCTGAGATACGGAGCATTTCATTAATTTTAACTGGATTTTAATTTACATTTAATTCATATTGTTGAATTGTTATCTTGTAAGCCGCCCTGAGTCCTTCGGGAGAAGGGCGGCGTATAAATTGCAATAAAATAAAATAAAATGATAAAATGTGTGAAGGCAGGTGGTCCTTGACTTACAACCGTTCCGTTTAGCGACCGTGCCGATAAATGTGGCAAGAAAAATCATACGACGATTTTTATTTTTAATGATGATGATTAACTTAGCAGCAGAAATTTGGGGCTCAGTGATGGTCGTAAGCCGAGGACTACCGGTGAAGCATTTCTCCCGCTTTCCCATCTGAAATCAGAGATTATGTTGGCTTTTCTTGAAGTCGACCGTGATGAGCTCCTAAATCATTTCAATCCCAATCTGGTGTTTCCTGTAGGCCCAGCAGAAGATCAGGGTTGGGATATGACCGTCCTCAGGAACCCATCAAGGACTGAGCTTCATCACTGTCCAGCCCCACCTGGCTTTCTTCTCCCATGTGGCCAACAGCAACCCAAGGAACCACCAAGGTGGACACATAGAATGTGGCAACAGATTGGCATCTCCACCATGTTCTTGGCCCCTGGGTGGTGGGACGGAGTGGGAAGAGGATGGACAGGAACAAGAGTGGACTTCAAGACTTGGTCCACCATCTAGGATGTTCTTGACCATGGGTGGTGGGACAGAGTGGGAGAGGATGGACAGGAACAGGATGCTGAGTGGACTTCAAGACTGGTCCACCATCTATGATGTTCTTGGCCCTGGGTGGTGGGACAGAGTAGAAGAGGATGGACAGGAAGAAGATGCTGAATGGACTTCAAGACTTGGTCCACCAACTATGATGTTCTTGGCCCTGGGTGGTGGGATAGAGTGGAAGAAGATGGACAGGAAGAAAATGCTGAGTGGACTTCAAGATTTGGTCCACATCTATGATGTTCTTGACCATGGGTGGTGGGATGGAGTGGGAGAGGATGGACAGGAACAGAAGTAGACTTCAAGACTTGGTCCACCATCTATGATGTTTTTGACCATGGGTGGTGGGACGGAGTGGGAGAGGATGGACAGGAACAGGATGCTGAGTGGACTTCAAGACTTGGTCCACCAGCTATGATGTTCTTGACCATGGGTGGTGGGACGGAGTGGGAGAGGATGGACAGGAACAGGATGCAGAGTGGCCTTCAAGTCTTGGTCCACCATCTATAATGACCCCATAGTCACTCTCCCATTGTCAGTCAACCTCGCCTGTACTGGATCAGGAAAGTTGTTTCTCCTGTGCTGTTCTTCTGCTGGCCTTCACCCCTCAAACCAAAAATTGGCCCGGATTTTCTTGGGATGGAAAACTTTCCATTCCCAAAGAAAAGCTAGAACTTCCTTCCCCCGATCCTAATTTTAATTCACCGCCAACCACATGGACTACAGTAGAATTGACTGTAGTGGATTTTTGTGTTGATGCTCTACAGAGAGACATCCTGAACTTTGTCCCAATGGATGTGTGGGGTAGAAATGGCCCTCCATTGTAACTGGAGGGAAGAGAGTTGAAGGAGACAAGGTTTTCTGCCCCCCCAATGAAGATCTTGGATCTCCCAATTTCAAGGACCCATGAAGTTGCCCAAGAACATCAGCAGCACCCACCCTTCCAAGGAATCAGGACATTTCCCAAGGCCCTTCCTGTTTTCTGGAATCATGGGAGATGTTCTGAGATGGCCTTCTTCTCCAGTTGGAAGAAACAGGTGTCAAGAAGGACTCAAGAAAAGCTCATCAACCCCTTGGACTTCTACATCATCTGGTTTCTTCCAGACCATCTAAATTTGACTCATGTTCCACATAGGGAGGTTGGGAGCTCAGCTCAACGTCCTAAAACAATGTCCAGATGGAGAAGCTGGTTCCATCTCATGGTTTGCTCCATTGTACGTCTGGAAAACTTGGGTGTCCACCTGTAAATCAGTGATACCAACTTAACGCCAGGTCCACCCAACTAGGCAGTCCAGGAGAGAACATCTCATGAAGTTGTGCAAAAAAAAAAAAAAAAAGGAGGTAGGTCATGATATCTTCACGTTCAACGCAGCTTCTGGAGATCACTTGAAGCCACGCATCTCAAGGTTCACCTACTCTCGACGGCCCCACAAAAGGTTTGGTGACCATAACTCTCCTCTCCATTTCTTCATATATATATATATATTTGGTGGAACTGTTTCCATTTTCCAAACCCACCCACCCACCCAAAAAAAGTTGAAAATGTCTCTCGTAACAAAAATCCCTGCGTTGGAACCGCAGTAGTGCAAATGAGGAAGGCAACGTTGTCCAAGGATGGCCAAAGCCTTGTCACTTCTTGAAGGCGAAGGAAGCTGGATGAACCTTTAGGCCTGGGAGGGGTCTAAAGAAAGAAGAAAGGCAATGAAAATCAGACATGTTATGGTCCGCCAGCAGCCCACGCAGCTAGTAGCGGAGTCGGACAGTGAGGAGGCTGGGGAGGAACAAGGGCCAGTCCTGGAGTCTGAGGAAGGCCCGGATGAGGGCTTTGCGTCGGAGACAGATGGGGCCAGGGCCATCGGGGAGTGATGCATGAACTCCCAAGCCCCCAGAGTCAGACAGCAGAGAAGCAGAGGAACAAGAGGAGCCTGTTCCGAGTACACGCATGTGCACAGCTGCCAGAAGGCAAGAGAAGCTAAAGCAAAAGGGACGACTCGGGAGTAAGGCCAGGAGATGATTGGCACCCTCCCATAAGGCTTAAAAGAGAAACAGAGGCACTTGGGGCCTTTTGCAGGAAAGCAACATTGCTAACTCTGTTTCCAGTCGGCATCTCTTGTTTGTTTCTGAACTTCGTGGGGCTTTGCCAAATAAGGCCTTTGGCAGGATGTCAAAGAAGATAAAGGTTGGTGATTATCCCCAAAGGACTTTTTTTTTGCAACTAATTGGGACTCAGTTGGGAATGAACGTAATTCTCGGCTGTTACAATAAAACAGGTTTGTTTGGGACTAATTGTATCTTGTAATTACTCAGTAAGCCTAGGTCACAACAATATATTCTTCAGAAGAACCAGAAGGAAAACATTAAAAAGTAACCATGGCGGGCAACCATGGTGGGATCCAGTTTGGTCCAGTGGTTAAGGCAACAAAATTAGAAACTAGGAGAGTGTGAGTTCTAGTCCTGCCTTAGGCACAGTTGGGTGACTTGGGGCCTATCGCCAGGAGATAGTGAGTTGTAGCTCTACCTAAGGCATGAAAACCAGCTGAGACACTTTGGACATCAGGAGATGGGGAGTTCTAGTTTTGCCTGAAGACATGACAGCCAGCTAGGTGACTTTGGGCCAATCACCAGGAGACAGTGAGTTCTAGTCCTGCCTTAAATAAAAACCAGCTGGGTGACTTTGGGCCTATCACGAGGAGATGGGGAGTTCCAGTCTTGCCTGAGGCATGAAAACCAGCTGAGACACTTTGGATACCAGGAGATGGGGAGTTCTAGTTTTGCCTAAGATACCAAAGTCAGCTAGGTGACTTTGGGCCAATCACTAGGAGACAGTGAGTTCTAGTCCAGCCTTAGGCACGAAAACCAGACGCGTGACTGTAGGCCAATCACCAGGAGACAGTGAGTTGTAGTTCTGCCTAAGGCAGGAAAGCCAGCTGAGACATTTTGGACAAAACACTAGGCGATGGTGAGTTCTAGTTTTGCCTAAGATATGAATGCCAGCTAGGTGACTTTGGGCCTATCACCAGGAGACAGTGAGTTGTAGTTCTGCCTAAGGCAAGAAGAACACAGGTAAACGGAGGTGGGGAGGAAGTGGGGTTTCCCCAGGTGAGTCCCAGGGGCTCCATCACACTCACCTTTGAGGTGCAACTGGCCTGAAACAGAGAGAAAGAGAGGAAAAAGGTGTGTTAGTAGCTTAGATGACAAAATCGTTTCCCGTGGGGTCCATGTTCCTGGCTCAAAGTTTTCCAATGTTCTCAGCTTTTCCGGATGTCTCCTACAGAGAGTCCTCCACTTACGATGACTCACTTAGTGACCGTTCAAAGATACAACAACTCCAAAAAAATGGGACTTATGGCCCTTTTCACACTGAAAAGACCACTGCAGCGTCCCCATCGTCAGCTGATCAAAATCCAGATGCTTGCCGACTGATTCATCATTGCGACGGTCGCAGTGTTCCGGGGAGTCACGTGATCCCCTTTCGCGACCTTCTGACGAGCAAAGTGAAAGTGGGGGGGGGGTAAGCCCAATTCGCTGAACGACCGTGTTATTAACTCAACAATTCGCTTAACAACATTTTACAACTGTTACGGCTTACGGCCATAATGGGCTAGGCTCCATTACGGTCGTTATGTCGAGGACTACCTATCGTTGGGCAGGAAATGCACACAGGAGAAAATCGACGGTGGTCGTGAGGCAAAATTGGCGGATTTTTGCCCTGGGACTCGGATGTCAGGGCCTCGCCCCGTTTCCGTTCCCGAAGGCGTCGTCTGTTGTGGCCCACCGGCAGCCAGCAGAGCTGGCAGCAAAGTCAGACAGTGAGGAGGTTGGGGAGGAACTTGGGGCAGTCCTGGGGGCTGGGGAAAGCTCGGACGAGGGCTCTGCGTCGGAGGCCGAGAGGGAGCTAGACAGCAGCGAGGGAGAGGAACAGTTGGAGCCTGTTCCAACTGTTCCTCGGCGCTCATGCTCAGCGCTGCCAGAAGACAAGAACAATTAAGAAAGCAGGGTCGACTCAGGAGTAAGGCCACACCTTGGAGATGATTGGCCCCTCCCATAGGACATAAAAGAGGAGCGAACGGGAGGTGGGCTTTTGCAGGAAGCAATTAGTTCATCTCGTTTCAAGATGGGAAAGTTCTATTCGTGCCGCTAACAGACTCAGTGCCGAGTTTGGCCTTGCTCTCCATTTGGAAATTGCTTCTCTGGCAGCGTTCCAAGCGAGATAAGGTTTGTGTTGATCAACCTTCCTCTGAAAGACTGTTTGCCAAAGCCTCGTTGACTGGGAACGAGCAGAATTCACAGTCGGGTTATATAAAAAGAGGTTTTTAGCGGGATTAAGACTTTGCTTCGTGCTTTCGAAAGGAAGCCGAGGTCAGGGAACATCGTCTCTCGCGGCCAACTTACTTGAGAGGTTTGGAGAGATGGTTCAAGGCCCCGATCCCCGCTGGCTTGGAGTTGGTCGGAGGGACCATAACCAGCAAGGCGGGACTCGGTGCTGAGGCCACGTCTTTCGCCAGAAGAGTCTTGGCCAAGGGTTTGTAAAGGGGTCTGGGCTGCGGGTTGAGCTGCCAAGGGGAGAAAACACCACACAACAACAGGAGGTCAAGAATCAGAATAGAGCTGGAAGGGGCCTTGGAGGTCTTCTAGTCCAGCCCCCTGCTTAAGCAGGAGATCCTATACCAGTGATGGCGAACCTTTTAGGCACAGAGTGCCCAAATCGGAAACCATTCGAGACAAGTGACTGTCCAGTCTCTTCTTAAAAACTCCAGTGATGGAGCCACCGACAACTTCTGGTGGCAAGCTGTTCCACTGGTTAATTGTCCTCGCTGTTAGGAAGTTTCTCCTTAATTTGAGGTTGAATTCCAGAATTCCCACCATGTAGATCCCGCCCAAGTTTCAGGTTGCTTCTCTCCTTGATTAGTTTCCATCCATTGCTTCTTGTCCTCCCTCTGAGGTTTTGGAAAATAATTTGACCCCCCTCTTCTTTGTGGCAGCCCCTGAGATATTGGACGGCTGCTATCATGTCCTCCCTAAAAGTCCTTCTGGCCAAAACCCAAATCCCGCATTCGGCGCTGGTTGGTTTCTACCCATTAAACCTTCACTTTCTAATGGCTGCATTTGAACTCTGGAACTTCTAACCTGGTTTGTTGAACAAGCTATCATCGGGGTAGGGTGCCACGTTGGAAGCCAAGGTACAGCAGCCACCATAATTGGCAAAGCACCTCTGGAATCAGGGTTTGTTTAGCTGGTAGGATGTAGATCTCAACTGCCAGATTTCCCCAGCCAGACTTCATATTCAAGGTAAATTACATCGAGAGCGTTCCCTTGATCTACTAATTTAGCCTTTTCATCCCCCCAAAAAAGAGCGATAAGGTGTGCCTGAGACAGATTTTCTCAACTTTAGCTACCTTTAAGGTGGCTGGGCAGTGGTGGGTTCCTCCCGGTTCGGTCCGGTTCGGCCGAGCCAGTAGCGGTGACGATATGACGTCACCGAACCGGTTCTCTCCCCCCCGCCCTCCCACCCCCACGTTATTCTTACCTTTTATTTGGTCCCACCCCCAATCTATGGCTGCCTCCTGAGTCCCAGCTGATGACTAGGGGGACTCTTGCCGGGGGGCTCCAAAGGGCCGCCCTACAGCTGATCAGTGTTAAAAGCAAACAAACGTGTCGGGTCGTAAGTGCGAGGACTGGTCGTAAGTGCGAGGACCTTCCAGAAATGACTCCGACCAGCTAGCCACGCCCACCTAGTCACATAACCTCCAAGCCACACCCACAAAATAAGCCACGCCCACGGAACCGGTAGTAAAAAAATTTAGAACCCACCCCTTGTGGCTGGGACTTCAATTCCCAGAATCCCCCAGCCAGCTAGGCACACCCTGCAGTGAAAATCTCTGGATATATAACCTTCCAGTAGCAAACTGTAGATTTTCCAGAACTGAGACCCCCCCCCCAAGGGCAAATAGGAGCAGGCAACTCACCGGAGGGGGTCGGACGGGGGTGCTCGGAAGGGGCTTCTTCGGAGGGGGCAGTTTGGTGGGACCCCCAAATCCGCCTTTCAGAGGCGTGGCGGGCGATCCGTGGAAGGGCGGGGGAGGGGGCCTGGAAGGTTTGAGGTCTCTCTGGAGGGGGGTCGAGGGGCCACAGCCGGGCCGTAAGGGTCGTACCACGTTGATGGGGTGGGGGGCCCTTTCAGAAGGGTTGGGCTTCAATGAGGAAATGCCTCTGGCTACCTGCAGGGGGGAGAGAGAAAAGAAAAGAGGGTTTTTTTGTGAGTTTTTCCAGCTGAAAATTGCCAGTTGGGTTTAGTTGTTGAAGGCACCCAGCTAGAAAGCAGGAGAGAGTGAGTTCTAGTCCCGCCTTAGGCGTGAAAACCAGCTGGGTTAATTTGGGCCAATCACCAGGAGACGGTGAGTTCTAGTCCCGCCTTAGGCGTGAAAGATAGCTGAGTGACTCTGAGCCAATCACCAGGAGACGGTGAGTTCTAGTCTCGCCTTAGGCGTGAAAACCAGCTGGGTGAATTTGGGCCAATCACCAGGAGACGGTGAGTTCTAGTCCCGCCTTAGGCGTGAAAACCAGCTGGGTGAATTTGGGCCAATCACCAGGAGACGGTGAGTTCTAGTCCCGCCTTAGGCGTGAAAACCAGCTGGGTGAATTTGGGCCAATCACCAGGAGACGGTGAGTTCTAGTCCCGCCTTAGGCGTGAAAACCAGCTGGGTGACTTTGAGCCAATCACCAGGAGACGGCGAGTTCTAGTCCCGCCTTAGGAATGAAAGGCAGCTTGGTGACTTTGGGCCAATTACCAGGAGACGATGAGTTCTAATCCTGTCTGATGCCTTAACCACGACACCAAACTGACTTTCTATCACAGTATTAGGGCACTGCAAAGCTATACAGGTAGTCCTCGACTTACGACCATAATGGAAAGCAGGATTCCAGCTGCTACGCAAGGTGTTTAAACGAGTCACGCCCAATTTTACAATCTTTTTTTTACCACCGTTGTTAAACGAATCATTTCCGTCGCTAACTGAATCAGAGCAAATCTGCCTTCTCCCATTAACTCTGCTGATCGGAATCCGGCTGGTACATGCCAGTTCCAAGCTTCCGAATGTTTGATCCCGTGACCCCGGGAGCGCTGCCGCCACGGTCGTTAAGTGAGATAACTGTTCACCGGTCACTTTTTTCCAGTGCCGTTGTAACTTTGAACCGTCGTTAAACAAATGGTTGTAAGTCGAGGACCACCTGTAGCTTGGCGCTCCGGACTGTGCATCACTTCCCCGAGTGCATTTTCAGAACTGAATTAACTCTCTGAACGGAATCAATAATTTGAATCAAAGCAGGCGTGAAACTATTTAATTTCAAGCCGACTTTATTCACGGCACATATTTCCACTCCGTTGCCACCCAAAAAAAAAAAACACACACAAAAAACCCCCCAAAACCACATATTTGCCAGCTTAAGGAAAATGTAGCACAACAATTTAACACAAAATGGATGATTTAGTTCAAAAGGAGCAGACCGAATGGACTAACTCTCTCCAAAATCAGCTGGATAAATCTGAATTAAGCCCCTCGCCCCCCCCCACTCAGCCACAACGGATTCTCGGCCCTTCCCGTGAGCGGTAAATCGTGGCTCCGTTGAAAATGATGATCAAACGGCTTTATTATTTCAAGCCGTGGCAGTTAACGGACTTAAAAGTTGCGGGTTTTGTAAACACGGAATTTTTAACAGATTGAACAGATTAACAAAAAGTCGGAAGGGAATGTAATGACTGACTGGGTGGGCGTGGCCAGGGTGGGCGTGGCCAGGGGTGTGTGACAGGCAGCACTCGGCATCCTGCATCCCCCCCCCCCCCGGAGCAAAAATGGACCGGGGGAGGGCACACACCCCCTGCACCCCGCTTTGGCCCTAGTAGGCCTCCCTGCACTTACCTGGGAGCCAAAATGGGGCATGGGGTGGGGTGGGGGACTTCTGGAAGAGGTGGGGTGGGAGGGGAGGGGCCAGCCAGGAATTTAACTACCGATTCGCCCGAACCGGCTGAATTCCACCACTCCACCCCAAGTCCAGTCTCTTCTTGAAAGCTCCCAGTGATGAACCTCCTACAACTTTTGAAGGCAAGCCATTCCACTGAATAACAGAAGAGTTGGAGGGGACCTTGGAGGTCATCTAGTCCAACCCCCCCCCACCCAGGCAGGAGACCCTACATCATTTCTGACAGAGGGCAGTCCAGTCTCTCCTTGAAAGCCTCGGAAGGCAACTTCTGAAGGCAACTTCTCTTCCATCGGTGGGTTGTTCAGAAAAAATTATCCTTATTTCCAGGTTGAATCGCTCCTTAATTAGTTTCCATCCATTGTTCCTTCTCTGGCTTTCGGGTGCTTTGGAAAACAGCTCGACCCCCTTCCTCCTCTCTGGGGCAGCCCCTGAGATACTGGAAGATGCTCTCCTGTCTCCCCTGGTCCTTCTCTTCACTAGATTAGCCATGTCTTCTGTCCAACTATGATTCACTCAGCTTTCTTTCTTTCTTTCTTTCTTTCTTTCTTTCTTTCTTTCTTTCTTTCTTTCTTTCTTTCTCTTTCTTTCTTTCTTTCTCTCTCTCTTTCTTTTTCTTTCTTTTTCTTCTTTCTCTCTCTCTCTCTCTCTCTCTCTCTCTCTCTTTCTTTCTTTCTTGTGCTTTGGAAAACAGCTTGACCCCCTTCTCCTTTCTATGGCAGCCCCTCAAATATTGGAAGATGCTCTCCTGTCTCCCCTGGCCCTTCTCTTCACTAGATTAGCCATGTCTTCTGTCCATCCATGGCTCACTCAGATTTCTTTCTTTCTTTCTTTCTTTCTTTCTTTCTTTCTTTCTTTCTTTCTTTCTCTTTCTTTCTTTCTCTCTCATTTTCTTTTTCTTTCTTTCTTTCTTCTTTCTCTCTCTCTCTCTCTTTCTTTTTCTTTCTTTCTTCTTTCTTTCTCTCTCTCTCTCTCTCTCTCTTTCTTTCTTTCTTTCTTTCTTGTGCTTTGGAAAACAGCTTGACCCCCTTCTCCTTTCTATGGCAGCCCCTCAAATATTGGAAGATGCTCTCCTGTCTCCCCTGGCCCTTCTCTTCACTAGATTAGCCATGTCTTCTGTCCATCCATGGCTCACTCAGATTTCTTTCTTTCTTTCTTTCTTTCTTTCTTTCTTTCTTTCTTTCTTTCTTTCTTTCTTTCTTTCTTTCTCTTTCTTTCTTTCTCTCTCATTTTCTTTTTCTTTCTTTCTTTCTTCTTTCTCTCTCTCTCTCTCTTTCTTTTTCTTTCTTTCTTCTTTCTTTCTCTCTCTCTCTCTCTCTCTCTTTCTTTCTTTCTTTCTTTCTTGTGCTTTGGAAAACAGCTTGACCCCCTTCTCCTCTCTATGGCAGCCCCTCAAATATTGGAAGATGCTCTCCTGTCTCCCCTGGTCCTTCTCTTCCCTAGACCAGCCATGCCCAGTTCCTGCAACCGTTCATCGTATGTTTTATCCTCCAGTCCCCTCATCCTCCTGGTTGCTCTTCTCTGCACTTTCTCTAGAGTCTCCACATCTTTTTTGTAGTGTGGGGACCAAAACTGGATACAGGAATCTAGGTGTGGTCTTACTAGGGATTTATAGAGTGGTAGTAGTACCTCCCTTGATCTTGATTGTATCCCTCTGTTAATGTAATTTAGGATTGCATTGGCTTTTTTGGCTGCCGCTGCACACGGCTGGCTCATATTTAAGTGATTTTCCATTAAGACTCCAAGATCCCTCTCACAGTTGCTGCTATTATTATTTTACTTTCTCAATGCATGTCCACATCGGTTCTCAAATGAGGATAAATACAGGTATTTCCTCGACTTACGACCACCATCGAGCCCAAAATGTCTGTTGCTAAGCGAGACACTTCTTAAAATGCATTTTGCTCCATTTTACGGCTTTCCTCGCCGCCGTTATTAAGCGAACCGCTGCCGTGGTTAAGTTAAGAACACGGTTGTTAAGCGAATCTGTCTTTCCCCCCAACCCCTTCCCATTGACTTTGCTCGTCAGACGGTCGCCAAAGGGGATGGGTGCGATCGTCATAAATAGAGGAGTCAGTTACCAAGAAAGTCTGACCGTGGGGATTGCAGAGGTCGTTAAGGGTGAAAAAACGGTCGTAAGTCCCTTTTTTCGGTGTCCGTTGTAACTTGGAATGGTCACTAAATGGACCGTTGTAATTTGAGGACTAGCTGGAGTGCAGAAGGATTAACAGCAGGAAGATATGAAGCGACTGTGAAATATAAGGAATTATATTTACTCTAAAGCAATATTTCTCAAGCTTGGCCGCTGGAAGATGGGTGGACTTCAACTCCCAGAATTCCCCAGCCAGCTGTGCTGGGGAATTCTGGGAGTTGAAGTCCACCCATCTTCCAGCGGCCAAGCTTGAGAAATATTGCTTTAAATCAAATTTGGAGAGGATCACTCAGTCAAGGTAGAAGAAAAGAGAAACCCTGAGCACAGGTAGTCCTCTATTTACGATGGTTCATTTAGTGACCGTTTCAAGTTACAACGGCCCTGAAAAAAAGAGACTGACGACCGTTTTGTCACACTTACGACCGTTGCGGCATTCCCGCAGTCACGTGATCCAAATTCGGACCCTTCGGCAAGTGGCTCATACTTATGACGGCGTCTCGCGGTTACGTGATCCCCTTTGGCGACCTTCCGACGAGCAAAATCCACGGGGAAGCCGTGGATTCGCTTAACAACCGGGTGACTAACTTATCAAGGGCAGTGATTCGCTTAGCAACGGTGGCAAGAAAAGTCATAGTCAAATGGAGCAAAGTCTGGTGAAACCGTTGTCTGGCTTAGCCATGGAAATTTCGGGGGGGGGGCTTCAGTTGTGGTCGTAAGTCGAGGACTACCTGTTTGATAAGCAGCCTTCAAACGACCGCAAAGGTGTTGGCGCTGAGTGGGGAGGAGTTCCTTTACCTGGCTGGTGATGCTGGATTTCACTTTGTTAGCGGAGGAAATATCCTGCAGGCTGAAGGCGGAATTCGAATGGCCTTGGCTTGTTTTCTGATGAACGATTCCGTTCCTGTCGCAAAAACAGAACATAAAAGAACAAATAAAACTCTTTAAACATTGGATAAAAGCAAAGCTCCCTTTCAGATCTCATTCTGATTCTGAATTAATTCACTGTATAAGTAGTTCTCGAATTACGATCGCAACGGAGCCCAAAATTCCTGTTGTTAAGGGAGACATGTGCTAAGCGAGTTTTGCCCCATTTTACGAGCTTCCTTGTCTCCGTTGTTAAGTGAGTCACCGCAGTGGATAAGTTAGTCACCTGGTTGCTAAGTGAATCCAGCTTCCCCCTTGACATTGCTTGCCAGGAGGTATGAAAAGGGGATCGCATGACCCCGGAGACGCTGCGACCGTCATAAATACAAGTCGGGGGCCAAGCGCCTAATTTTTGATGACGTGACTGCGGGGATGCTGCCACGGTCGTAAGTGTGAAAAGCGGTCATAAGTCACTCTGTTCAGGGCCGTTGTAACTACAAATGGTCATAAATCGAGGACTGTCTGTTGATGGTTTATGGCCGTAATTGGGGGTTCGATTATGGTTGTAAATTGAAGACTACCTCTTTACAGCTGTAATTGTGGGTTCAGTTATAGTCATAAGTCGAGGACTATGTTTATGGCTGTAATTGTGGGTTCAATTATGGCCGTGAGTCGAGGACTATCTGTAGATGACTTATGGCCATAATTGTGGGTTCAATGATGGCCATAAATTGAGGACTATCTGTAGATGGTTTATGGCCATAATTGTGGGTTCAATGATGGCTGTAAGTTGAGGACTATCTAGATAGCTGATGGCCGTAATTGTGGGCTCAATGATGGCCGTAAATCGAGGACTATCTGTAGATGGTTTATGGCCATAATTGTGGGTTCAATGATAGCCATAAATTGAAGACTATCTCTTGATGGCTGATGGCCATAATTGTGGGCTCAATGATGGCCATAAGTCGAGGACTATCTCTAGATGGTTTATGGCTGTACTTGTGGGTTCAATGATGGCCGTAAGTTGAGGACTATCTAGATGGCTGATGGCCGTCATTGTGTGCTCAATGTTGGCCGTAAATCGAGGACTATCCGTAGATGGTTTATGGCCATAATTTTGGGTTCAATGATGGCCATAAATCAAGGACTATCTCTAGATGATTTATGGCCGTAATTGTGGGCTCCATCATGGTCGTAAACCGAGGACTACCTCCACAAAGCTTGGTCCCTTTCCTTTTCTCCCCCCCCCCCGCCCCCAAAGCTGCCATCCATTTCAACGATTCCTCCACCGCCTTTCCTTCCCCCGGGATTAATTATTTTTCATTTGACAACGAGGGCGATGATGACAGCCAAACGGCGAAATAATTCCCGCCACGATGTTGTACATGATTAAGTTTGCGGCCTTGAATGAATGGCGTTGGGTTGTTATCGCCCGCCTCCCTTCTGTCATTCCGACGGGGCTCTAAGCCACGTTCCCACAACCGCAGAGCTCAATTCCCACCATTGGATTAGCCATGGTTTCATCTTGGGCTGATGAGGATCGGATCGGCCTCTGGGACCCGTCAGAGGGGAACGGATGGCTCAAGGAAACCCGGAAGAGGGTTTATTTGCAACGGGGGGTAAAGCAGGTTGTGTGAAGGAGGGCCGCCGGTGAATTAAGTGGGGAGGGGGCTTCCCATTAAAAAGAGCCGGGCGCGAGAGCCGTCCGTGCGATGAACCCGCCACGAACGGTGAGAAGGAGAAATTGGGGGTTCAGGGCCAGGGATTAGGAGAAGAGAGGAGAGGGAGGGAAAGGATTCGCACATTATTGGGGAGCTGCCCACCTGCAGGTCGTGTTGTATCTCTTCCTGAAGCCCCTGGCCCACTTGTGGAGGAGCGAACTCTCCCGTCGGTAGCAGCGGTAGAGCCCCAGGAGCAAAGCGGGCACGATCAGGAGGAAGACCACCAGCAAAGAGATCAGGATGGCTTCGTAATCTGTGGGGGTGGGGTCCACGGAGAAGGAGAGGGTCACAGAGGCAGGCTTCCGTTGCCCATCCTTTTTTCTATCCATCCCTCCATTCCATCCATCCATGCCTTACATCCATCCATACTTATTTCCATCCTTCCTTCCTTCCATCCATCCTTCCATCTATCCATTCTTATTTCCATCCATCCATCCCTTACATACATACATCCTTATTTTCATCCTTCCATCCTCATATCTTCTTTCCTTCCTTCCATCCATCCATCCATCCATCCATCCATCCATCCTTATTTCCATCCATCCTTATTTCCATCCATCCCTTACATCCATCCATTCTTCCATTTATCCATCCATCCTTCAATCATTTCCATCCATCCATCCCTTACATCCATCCTTCAATCTATCCATCTATCCTTATTTCCATCCATCCATCCTTATTTCCATCCATCCCTTACGTCCACCCATCCATCCATCCCTTACGTCCACCCATCCATTCATCCATCCCTTCCATCCATCTATCCATCCATGCCTTCCATCCATATATCCTTCCATATATCCATCCATACTTACCTTCCTTTCTTCCCTTCTTCCTTCCATCTATCCATCCTTATTTCCATTCATTCCTTACATCCATCTATCTATCCATCCATCCATCTATCCATCCATCCATCCCTTACATCCATCCATCCTTATTTTCACCCTTCCATCCTCATCTTCCTTCCTTCCTTTCTTCCTTCCTTCCATCTATCTATCCATCCATACTTTTATCCTTATTTCCATCCATCCATTACATCCATCCACCCATCCATCCTTATTTCCATCCATCCTTATTTCCATCCATCCTAATTTCCATCCATCTATTCCTTACATCCATCCATCCTTATTTTCATCCTTCCATCCTCATTTCTTCCTTCCTTCCGTCCTTCCATCTATCTATCCATCCATCCTTTTATCCTTATTTCCAATCCATCCATCCCTTACATCCATCCTTCCTTCCATCTATCCATCTATCATTTCCATCCATCCATCCCTTATATCCATCCATCCTTATTTTCATCCTTCCATCCTCATTTCTTCCTTCCTTCCATCCTTCCATCTATCTATCCATCCATCCTTTTATCCTTATTTCCAATCCATCCATCCCTTACATCCATCCATCCATCCTTATTTCCATCCATCCATCCATCCTTATTTCCATCCATCCATCCATCCTTATTTCCATCCATCCATCCATCCTTATTTCCATTCATCCATCCATCCACGAGGAGAAGGAGGGACAGAGGGAGGAGAGGGAGGAAGAAGGGAAAGCAGAGGAAGAGGAGGAGAAGAAAGAGAAAGGGAAGGAGCGATGGGGGGGTAGATGGGGAAGAAGAAAATGAAGGCTGAGAAGGAGAAGGAAAAGAGGGAGGAGGAGGAGAAAGGGAAGGGGAAGGGAGGAGAAGGAGGAGGGCCACTTACGGTCTTGCTGGACGGGGCCACTATCCACGCTGCCTCCCAGCCCCGGCTTTTCACAGAACGGAGGTGCCCAACCAGCATCACAGTGACAGTTTTGGTTGCTGTTACACACCTAAGACAATCAGAGCAGGTGTGGAGTGAGCCCCAAGTTTACTCCCGGGGCTCCAGGTACAAGCGCTGAAAGGGGCAGGAAGGCAAATACAATCCGGAAAGCTCCAGACACCCCTGATTCCCTCCGGGGTAGAATATTTCCCTTAATCCTCCCGAATTATTTTTTTCCCCACCCCTCCACGCAAACCAGCAAAGCTCATTGGCTTTCCGTACAAACCTTAGTTTACTCATTAAGGACTACTAATGAGCTTTCTTACTAGTTGTTCGAACACAAGTACAGTTTAAATCAGTCTTTTCTGAACAATTTAACTTCATTAACAGCCGACAAGAATCCAAAGAATAATAACTCAATTCTGAGGCACAGTATTTCAGATAACCGTCATCTTAACTGTGGTTGGCAGAATGCCCAGAAGCAATTTGCAGGAAAACTGACAAGAGAGAAACAAGAGCCGAATCAAACGTTTTCTGGAATCAAGACGCGAAGGAATATGAACGAAGTTGTTCCCTGCAAATTGCTTCAGTTGGCATTCCTCCTTAAATAGGCTAAGGGAGTGGCCAATTAGCCCCAAGCCTTACTCTCGAGGAGACCTCCTCCTGAGGAGCCACTCCTGCCTTTTGGCAGCTCTGCGCGCCCATGCACTGAGGAGAGGCTCCTCCTCTTCTTCCTCTTCACTTAAAGGAGCTTCTGGAGGTTCTGAAGGCCCTGGTTCAATCCCCGCCTCTGGCACCACATCTTCTCCAGCCTCCTCATTGTCCGACTCGAGCGCCAGCTGCACAGGCTGCTGGTGCAGCACCACACCAGCCTCCTCACTGTCGGAATCAGCTACTAACAGCACAGGCTGCTGATGGACCACAACACAGAAACACGGCAATTGTATATGATGGGATAGCGCTGGGGCGGGGGGACGGGCCCAGCCACTGGCCATAACTATCGGTTCACCCGAACTGATCCGAACCGGCTGAATCCTACCCGTCTATAGGGTTGCTAGCGACATGTCCAAAAGGATTTATTTACACACCTACCTCCAGGTCAGAAACGGCCTCTTGTTTAAAAATTTCAATGTATTCAATGAAATTTTCGTCTCGTTTCTCCCAAAATATCCCTCAACGGGAGAAGGCCGGCATCGAACTACAGAAATAAATTGAAGGCTTTCGCTGCTAACTCACCCCGTGGCCGTGACATTTGGAGATGCATTTGTCCAGTTCGAAAAAGGAAGCGTTTTGACACCGCTGGTCTTTGCACACCTGCGAGGAAAATCCGAACCCCCCAAATAAAAAGTCATATTAGCAAATTAGCATTGATTTTATAGTCAATTGGGATTAAACAAAACTGAGGGATGGATTAGGGTGCCAGCGAGTCGCATCATCCAGAGCAAAAGCGACACTTAGCAGCCACGCAAATAGATTTTTCTCCCAAGAACCTCTCCTTAACTTGATCGTTCAGATCTCCAAATATTCACCCCCACTAGAGACACGTCTATTTGAGGATTATATACCCTGTTTCCCCGAAAATAAGACCCAACCGGAAAATAAGTCCTAGCATGATTTTTTGGGATGCTCGTAATATAAGCCCTACCCCAAAAATAAGGCCCAGTTAAGATTATCAGCCAGGTGGATTAGTGGTGAAATTCAATTTTTTTTGTTCTGTGGGCGTGGCTTGGTGGGTGTAACAGGAGAAGGATACTGCAAAATCTCCATTCCCTCCCCACTCCAGGGGAAAGATACTGCAAAATCTCTATTCTCACCCCATTCCAGGGGAAGGATATTGCAAAATCTCCATTCCCACCCCACTCCAGGGGAAGGATACTGCAAAATCCCCATTCCCTTCCCACTCCTGGGGGAAGGATACTGCAAAATCTCCATTCCCACCCCACTCCAGGGGAAGGATACTGCAAAATATCCATTCCCACCCCACTCCAGGGGAAAGATACTGCAAAATCCCCATTCCCTCCCCACTCCTTGGGGAAGGATATTGCAAAATCTCCATTCCCACCTCATTCTGGGGCCAGTCAGAGGTGGTATTTGCCGGTTCTCCAAACTACTCAAAATTTCTGCTACCAGTTCTCCAGAACCTGCTGGATTTCACCAGTGAGATGGGTGCGTTATCTACCATATTTCCCCAAAAAATAAGACCTAACCAGAAAATAAGACCTAATGCGTCTTTTGGAGCAAAAATTAATTCAAGACCTGGTCTTATTTGGGGGGGAAACTTGGGTATTACCAACCTTGCTACTCATAGTTAAAATGGGATCAAGGATGTGTACCAAGAAATGAAGCATGCCAAATCAATTTGATAAGAAAAGCTGCCTCAAGCAGAAGTTAATTCTTCCAAGTGAGATTCCCTCGAACTTCTCTTTAACGAGATTTATTGAGAGGAAAGGGGGGGGGGGAGGCAGGTTGCAAGAAGTTTTTTTTTAAAAAAAAAAATTCCCCTTTAATGCAGAGGGGAACTCCAGGACTCGGCCATTTTTAAGACTTGTGGAGTTCGACTTCGACAGAATTCCCCAGCTGGCTGAGGAATGCTGGGAGTTGAAGTCCACGAGTCTTAAAAGTGGCCATGTTTTGATAAAAAACCCCTGCCTTAATAGATTGGGGGAGGGATCCCGTGTCCCGTTCTATGACACAACAGCATGGAGATGATAGCAGGAGGCTATTATTCGCTAAACTCAGGGTCTCCAACCTTGCTCACTTTAAGCCTGGTGGACTTCAACTCCCAGAATTCCCCACCCAGCTTTGACAAGATCTTATTTTTGGGGAAACACGGTATATTCTCAGTGTGCCCAGAGAGAGAAATATCTGCGTCTACCTAAGGACCGATGTGGCCGCTATGTGAAACCTGCCATGCAGACAGGACCTATTGCGTCCTGAAACACAGAAACTGGTCACTCTTCCCCTCCTCTTGAGGACTCACCAACCCATCTCCGCACTTGGTCCCCGTCATCACAAGGCCCGGATCGGAGAGGTCTCCCTCGTCATCCTTGGTGGCATAGACCAAAGTCCCTCGGCATTTGATCTCTTGCCCGTTAAACCGAATGGTGGTGTCCATAGAGATAGTGTTGGTGCCTTTGGGCTTAGCAGCTGGGCTCTGACACTGGATCTTCCCACACTTGGCATCTCTGGGAGGAAAAAAGAAGGAAGTCCTGTCAGGAGGAGTGTTGAGGAATTCGCAGAGCAACCCTTGAGTAGCAAGGGTGTGCACATGAAAGCGATTGAGAGTAGTTAGGAATAACACAGCCAACACACAGATACACTGAGTTGTGTTTACTTTTAGGATATAGTAAGGCACAGTCCATATAAAGCAGGAGATAGTAAAACAATAGTCCAGGGATTATCCAAATAACAAAGTCTTCTTACCAGTCGTTGTAGTCATACACATTAACAGTTCTTACAGTTGCAAACAGTAGCAAACACAGCAAAAAGCAGTAACGAGCAATACAAATCAGCAAAGAGTTCAGCAAAGAGCAATCCAAGAGAAATAAACCAGGTTTCTAGCTTCCTTTTAAGGACACTGGCTACAGAGTTAACCAATCAGAACACAGTATGATGCAAGACAGGAATACATCAGTCTTAAAAGCTATATTCATGGTTTATATATTGTCAACCTAACAAGTTAGGTAAAATCATTTCCTAACATGGAGAAGCGGAAGAGCCCAGGAGACGAGATCCCTGGCTGATCTGGATCTCGCCCAGATGTCCTCGCAAAGCCAACGATCAAGGGACCAGGAGCGGAAACTCAAGTCGGGAAGGTCAACCACAAGGGGTAGAAAACATCCGGGGGGGCTTTTCCAAGGACAGAATCACGGGAGAGTTAGGAGGGGCCATCTACCCTTCCCAAGGGCAGGAATTTATGATGCCTGTACTGAACGGAAGTCTCGGTGGTGCAAATCTTGGAGGGCGGAGGGCACTTTTTGTTGCTGTTGAGCAATTTTTATTTATTTCCAAATTTGAAATAAAAGGTCAAAACAGAAGAAAGGGGAACAAAAGAAAACAAAGGCAAGAAAGCATGAAGGCAGGCAGGGAGAAAGAGAGAGGGGGAGAAGAAAGAAAGAAAGAAAGGAAGGAAGGAAGGAAGGAAGGAAGGAAGGAAGGAAGGAAGGAAGGAAGGAAGGAAGAAGAGGGAAAACAGAAGAGAGAAGAAGGAAGGAAGGAGACAGAGAAAGAAAAGAGAGAAAGAAAGAAGAAGGAAGGAAGGAGACAGAGAGAAAGAAAAGAGAGAAAGAAAGAAGGAAAGAAGGAGACAGAGAGAGAGAGAAAAGAGAGGTAGAGAGGAAGGAAGGAAGGAAAAGGAAAAAAGATAAAGAGAGAGAGAGAGAGAAAGAAAAAGAAAGAAAAAGGAAGGAAAAAGAAGGAAGGAAGGAGGGAGGGAGGGAAGGAAGAGGGAGAAAGAAAGAAGAGAGAAAGAGAAAAGAGGGGAGGGGAGGGGAAGGGAGAATAGAGAGAGAGAGTGAAGGAAGGAAGGAAGGAAAGGGAGAAAAGAGAGAAAGAAAGAAAGGGAGGGAGGGAGGGAAGGAAGGAAGGGGAGTAAGAAAGAAGGAAGGACGAAAGAAAGAAGAAAGAAAGAAAGAAAGAAAAAGAAAGAAAGAAAGAAAATATGTGTAAAACAAAACATCAAATATACACATAAAATGTCCTTCCAGTTGAATATTGATAAATACATTCCAACAAAACAGGCCCACAATTTATAAACTTCTACATCGATACTTGCTAAACTAGCACATAAAACATTGGAAAAAAATCGCAGCTGCGAAGACCTGTGATGAGTCCACCCATTGGACGCACCTTCGATCCACTCTAAAAATACCAAAACACGCAAACCCAACCCCGGCTGCCCTTGAACCGGGACGGATCCAGACAGCAAATGGGACTCTTGTGCGAGTTGCCGCTGCAGTGGCTGTGTTAGGGAATGGCTATTGCCTAACTGGTTGGGTTGGCAATATATATATAAACCATCAATGCATGTTTGCAGTCAAAATGTAATGTATAGCTTTAAGACTGTAATGCTGTATTGCATCATACTGTGTTCTGATTGGCTAGCTCTGTAGCCAATGTACTTAAGAGGAAGCTTGAATCATGGCTTATTTTTCTTATTACATTATTATTGCTACCTCTGCTCCTCTCTGCCTCTTCTCTCTGCATGATCACTGCTTGATCATTGCTACTTGTTGTTTTTTTACTGTTTTACTGATTGTTTTACTGCTGTACTTGTTCCTGTTTGCAACTCCGAAAAGAACTGTTTTATTGCATATGACTACAACAACTGGTAAGAAGACTTTGTTCTTGGAATATCCCTGGATTGACAATTTAACTATCTTTATCTGTGTATGACCTGGATTGTTTATTGGACTTTGCTTTGCTTTTTCCTAAAAGTAAAAGAATATCACAACTCAGTGTGTCTGTGTATTGACAATGCTTAGTCACAATCATTCTCAGCCGTTTCTCATGCGCACAACCTTGCTACTCAAGGGTTACTCTGCGCATATGCCTTAACATTCTGCAAACTTCCCCTGACTTGGCAACATCTGGAAGTCAGATGGACTAGGCTGCCCAGAAGGAACATCTGGCTCCCTCGGCCGCTAGGCGCTCACCTCTTGGCACACTTCACATAGCTGCCGTGTCGGTCCTTCCCACAGTTGCCGTACATGTCACCGGCCCTGTTGACATCCTGGAAGCAGGCATCGGGGGCCGGCCAAGCACCTGTGGTGGGGCGGAGAAAGAGAAGGTCTGCCAGAGTTTGTTGCAGCACACAAGACAATTCAGCAGGATTCAAAACTTCTTTAAAGACATCAGAAGCCATATACATCAGGGGTGGGTTCTACTTACCTTTACTACCGGTTTGCAACGGGATCGCGCGCTTCTGTGCATGCGCAGATTGCCAATGACAACAATGACTCCCGCCGGTTTTACTACCGGTTCTTGCAAACCGGTCTGAACCAGGGGAAAACCCACCACTGATATATACAATACAGAGGTGGGTTTCGCATAATTTTACCACCGGTTCGCCGCGCACCAAAAATGTGAGTGCGTCTTCGGCACATGTGCACGGCCTTCCGTGCGTGCGCTTTGCTCACGCACGCGGCTTGCACGCATGGACACGGCTTAGAAAATGTGGTTAAATAGGACGGCATAGCGCCAGGGCGGCTGAGCGGATCTACAGGTCACCACTAAAGTTTGGCCTAACCCGTCCGAACCGGCTGAATCCCACCAATGATACAATACCCCGTGGTGGTTTTTCCAACGTGGTAGAGAGAAGAGATTGTAAAGTAGGTACAAACACAGGCCGGGGCAACATAGACAAAACTTTTCCTAGTTATACAGAACAGTTGAGCTAAGCCACGCCCAGGCTCCTAGCTGTCTCTTGGAGCTCACACTGCAACTACTATGTTTCAGTTACCAAACAGTCCCCATTGGCTGACCTTGTTGCCGGGCTGGCTTGATCCCATCCTCTCAGTTTTTAATCGAATTCGGTTTTAATTGGGTTGTTTTAAATTTGGGCCAAAATTATTTATTTGTTTTTTAAAATGTTTTTTTAAATTTTATATGCTATGTTTTATCTTGGCTGTACACCGCCCTGAAAAAATAAAATAAAATAAAATAATAAAATAAAATAAAATAAAATAAAATAAAATAAAATAAAATAAAATAAAATAAAATAAAATAAATAAATGTCTACTCCAGTTCATGAATACATCTACACTGACAAAGTCCGATTTAGCACCCCTTGCCAAACAGGCCCTCCCCAAATTTATACACCGCAGGGAGTCCTCGACTGATGACCAGAATGGAGTGCAAAATTTCTGTGGCTGAGTCCAGAGATTTGTTACGTGAGTTTTGTCTCATTTTACGACCTTTCTTGCCACGGCTGTTAAGCGAATGGCTGTCGTTGATAAGACAGTGGTTAAGTGAATCTGGCTTCCCGCTTTGACTTGGCTTGTCGGAAGGTCGCAAAAGGGGATCACGTGACCCTCGGGACGCTGAGACGGTCGTAAACATGAATCAACGGTCGTGAATATGAGTCAGTTGCCAAGCGTCCGAATTTTGATCAGATGATCATGGGGATGCTGCAAAGGACGTAAGTGTGAAAAATGGCCATAACTCACTTTTTTTCACCACCGTTGTAACTCTGAACAGTCACTAAATGAACGGTTGTAAATCAAGGACTACCTGTACATCAGTAGGCTGCAAATACCCCATTCGGTTAGTCTGCCCGGCCTGAGAAGTGAATTCTGAGCAATTTTTGAGGATTAAGGATTAAGTTTATACTACATAAACTACAGTACCAAAAGTGTCCAGGTGATGGCGCCTCTCTCCCAATCCAAAGGACAATGGTGATATCAGAATGACCCCGCCCACAAAACCAAAGAGGAGCATGGGTATTCAGGTAGTCCTCGACTTACAACCATTTGTTTAGGGACCAAAGTTACAACGGCACTGATAAAAGTCCTCACACTTACGACGGTTGCCGCATTTCCCCGACAGTCACATCATCAAAATTCGGGCGTTTGGCAACTGGCATTTATTGACGACGGTTGCAGCGTCCCGAGGTCACGTGATCTCCACTTGGGACCTTCCGTCAAGCCAAGGGAATGGGGGAAGCCAGATTCACTTAACGACCACATGATTCACTTAACAACTGCAGTTACAGATAGTCCTCGACTTACGGCAGTTCACTGTTCGAAGTTACAGCGGCACTGGAAAAAGTGAGTTCTAGTTCCACCTTGGCATGAAGCCGGCTGGGTGCCTTCGTGCCAATCACCAGGAGACGGTGAGTTCTAGTCCCGCCTTAGGCATGAAAGTTGGCTGGGTGACTTTGGGCCAATCACCAGGAGACGGTGAATTCTAGTCCCACCTTAGGCATGAAAGATAGTTGAGTGACTCTGAGCCAATCACCAGGAGACGGTGAGTTCTAGTCCCGCCTTAGGTATAAAAGCTGGCTGGGTGACTTTGGGCCAATCACCAGGAGACGGTGAATTCTAGTCCCACCTTAGGCATGAAAGCTGGCTGGGGGACTTTGGGCCAATCACCAGGAGATGGTGAGTTCTAGTCCCGCCTTAGGCATGAAAGTTGGCTGGGTGACTTTGGGCCAATCACCAGGAGACGGTGAATTCTAGTCCCACCTTAGGCATGAAAGATAGTTGAGTGACTCTGAGCCAATCACCAGGAGACGGTGAATTCTAGTCCCACTTTAGGCATGAAAGCTGGCTGGGTGACTTTGGGCCAATCACCAGGAGACGGTGAATTCTAGTCCCACTTTAGGCATGAAAGCTGGCTGGGGGACTTTGGGCCAATCACCAGGAGATGGTGAGTTCTAGTCCCACTTTAGGCATGAAAGTCAGCTGGGATACTTTCTGCCAATCACCAGGAGACAGTGAGTTCTAGTTCCGCTTTAGGCATGGAAACCGGCTGGATGATTTTTAGCCAGTCTCTTTCTCTCAGCCCAACCCCACCTCACAGAGTTGTTGTTGTGGGGAAAATAGGAGGAGCAAGTTGTGTTAGATATATCCGCCATCCTGATTTATTAGTAAAAGTAATAAAGGCAGGATTAAAACAAACAAACAAACAACAGCCGCTGGCTGGGAGAGCGCCAGAGGGAAGGAGACGCTCACCTCGTCCCCACAGCTGGATGCATTGTTGATGGTGCGTCATGCACATGCCGTTGTAACAATACTCCTCTCCGTGAGAACACGTTGAGCCGTCCAACAAGTAGACATTGCCGGGACAGTAGGGTGAAGCACCCGTACAATATTCCGGGAGGTCACAGGATCCAGCCGGCTCCCGACACATGATCCCGGCTGTCTTGAGCTATGGGAAACAACAGACAGAGAAATTTCCACCAAAGAAGTAAAGATGAGCCAAGATCCATCTCCGTCGGCCATCTTGGATGGGATGTGGAGAACAACACGCAAGAGAGCATAGCCATCGGATCACGGCCAATGTCCAGACAACCCTCTGAAGACCTCTGGAAGGAATAGCCATCCTGTCTTAAGATCTCTTCTTCTAAGCAAAAAATATCTCCTATTGTGGTGGAATGTAGTCTGGATTCCCAGGAGGGAGGGGCTGCATTCCAGAGGAGCGAGAGGGTTTGTGTAGGAGAAAGAAGGTGAAGACAGCTCCTGCCTAATGGATCCCAAAGTATATCTTTAATGATGCAAATAGTTATTTTTTTTTAATTGGTTCGTTTATTTCTTTATATCCCACCTTATTATTATTATAAAAAAAAAAAAATCAAGGTGGCGAACCTATTTTTTTCTCATTGCAATTGTCCTCGACAGACGCTCCTCATTTAGCGACCGCCTCGCTATGTCCGCAATTGCAACGGTGATGAAAAAGTAACTTTCCAACCAATCCTCGCATTCACGACCTTCGCAGGTCTGTAAAGCCAAGGGAAGTTCTAAGTAACCCTGTAAATTTGCGGTGTTCCACTTCGCTTAACGACCAAGTTGCCACCCTCCAACTCTGGTCGCTAAACGAGAACTACCTGCATTGAAAGCTCCGGTTTCCATTTCCGCCCAAAACAAAGTCAGACACTTTGGAACCAAGGAGAGTTCCCATGCTCCACAGCCTTGGTGGCCCACAATCTGTTTTATTACCTTGCAGGAATTACAACATTCTCCGTGGGCGCACTCAGCTCCGGCTTTCAACGTGCAATTCTGGGGGTTACAGCAAGGATTGGTGCACTCCTGGGGGGGAAAAAAGTGGATTTTTTTTCACTCAGCATCACCAGGATTTGAGGGGTGGGAAGCCCAGCACGTTCATGGGGTCTCTTTCCAAAAAAGCTTTGATTATTAGAAAAATGTCCTCCCAGGAACATGGATTTCCATCTGTTGATGCTATCGTGAAACATAGTCCAGGTGCATCTTTTCCCTGTTTATTTATCTGACTTTCATCCCACCTTATTATTCTTACAAATAACTCAAGGGGGTGAATATATCCAAAAGACCTTCCTGTTTCTATTCTATTTCTTCTATTTTCCCCTACAACAATCCTGTGAGGTAGACTGGGAGGAGAGAAACTGACTGAGCCAAAGTCACCCAACCGGATTTCATGGCTAAAGCGGGACTAGAATTCACCATCTCCTGGTGATTGGCTCAAAGTCACCCAGCTGGCTTTCATACCTAAGGCAGAACTAGAACTCACCATCACCAGGTAATTGGTCTAAACTCACCCAGCTGACTTTCATTCCTAAGGTGAGACTAGAACTCACCATCTCCTGGTGACTAACCCAAACTCACCCAGTTGGCTTTCCTGCGTAAGACAGAACTAGAACTCCCCATCTCTGGGTGATTGGCCCAAAGTCACCCAGCGGGCTTTCATGCCTAAGGCAGAACTAGAACTCACCATCACCAGTTAATTGGTCTAAACTCACCCAGCTGACTTTCTTGCCTAAAACAGAACTAGAACTCACCATCTCCAAGTGATTGGCCCCAAATCACCCAGGTAGCTTTCATACCTAAGGCAGAACTAGAACTCACCATCACCAGGTAATTGGTCTAAACTCACCCAGCTGGCTTTCATTCCTAAGGTGGGACTAGAACTCACCATCTCCTGGTGACTAACCCAAACTCACCCAGTTGGCTTTCCTGCGTAGGACAGAACTAGAACTTCCCCGTCTCCTGGTTCCTAAGCCGGCACCTTAACCCCTAAACCAATTTTGCCCATCAAATCCTTGAGTTTCGACCTGCTCCCTGCCTCGACGTTAAGACTCAAACCCCGTTGCTTTGCTCCCGGACAGCCTCGCCCTCCACCTCCCAGGCTCACCGCCCACCCCCACCCCCAATTTTTTCCCAATGCCACCCCCTCCCCCCCAAATCCCCTGCCTACCTCGGCCTCCCCGCAGTCGCACTCCTCCCCTTCTTCCAAAAACCCGTTGCCGCACTTCTTCCCCAAAACCAGGTCCTTGGTGTCGGGGAGGTTGAAGAGGCAGGCGCCTCCCCCCTTCTGGAAGTAGCCCTCCAACTGTCTGCGGCTGCAGGAGCTGAATACTCGGGGGAAGGGGTGCCTGGAATTTGGGGAGGGGGCAAAGAGAGAGAGAGAGAGAAAGAGACCAACTCAGGACCAGAAAATCAGAATTTTGCAGAATTTCGCTGCTCTGAATCCGAGGCTCCGTTTCTAAACATTTCAAGAGGTGGTTTTGCAGGAAGTCCTCAACTTACGACCGCAGTTGAGCCGCAGTCTGTGGCTAAGCAAGGCGGTGGTTAAGTGAGCTTTGCCCCTCGTTTTGTGACCGTCCTTGTCACAGTTACTAAGGGAATCACCGCAGTTGTTAGTGGAGGGAATCCTCGACGTACGACCGTTCATTTAGAGATGGTTGAAAGATATAAAGGAGCTGGAAGGGATTTATGGCTGTGTTTCACACTTACGACCCGTCGCAGCCTCCCCTGCGGGGGTCACATGATCGAAATTCAGATGCTTGGCAACTGACTCGTATTTATGACTGTCGCCGTGTCCCTGGGTCACGCGATCCCCTTTTTGAGACCTTCTGATAAGCCAAGTCAACAGGGGGGAGCCAGATTCGCTTAACGACCGGGTTACTAACTAATCAACTGCAGGGGTTCACTTAACAACGTTGGCAAGAAAGGTCGTAAAACGGGACAAAACTCGCTCAAGAAACGCCTCGCTCAACGGCAGAAAATCTGGGGGCTCAACGGCCCCGTTTTACAACCTTTCTTGCCACCGCCGTTAAGTGGGGCACTGCGGTTGTTAAAGTCCGTAACCCGGTTGTTAAGTGAATCTGGTTTCCTCGCTGACTTTGCTCATCAGAAGATCGCCAAAGGGGATCGCATGACCCCACCCCCCACCCCCGGGGAAAACTGCGACTGTCATAAATACGAATCAAGTTGCCAAAGCATCTGAATTTCGATGCCGTGGCCCTAGGGATGCTGCAACGGTCCTAAGCTTGAAAAAGTCCCTTTTTTTCCAGTGCCGTTGTAACTCGGAACGGTCACTAAATGAACGGTCATAAGTCGAGAACTATCCGGACTTCTTTGGCACACATGCTGGGCTCTGTGAAAAAAATGGACTGAAAACAGTAGATGTTTGATCCAGCTCTTGTTTTGCCCAGTGTCTTTGAAGCAGTGGTGGGTTCCTCCCGGTTCAGCCCGGTTCGGCCGAACCGGTAGCGGTGATGATATGACGTCACTGAACCGGTTCTCTTTGTTCCGGAGCTGGGCCCTCCCGCCCGTCCCCGCGTTATTCCTACCTTTTATTTCTTCTTTTTTTAGCCCGGCTGATACGTGTGGCAGAGTGGATTGCCGCACCTCAGCTGGGCAGTTTCGTAACACGCTTGCACATGCGAAGCACACGCGCGAAGAGAACCGGTAGTAAAGCCGGTTAGAACCCACCACTGCTTTGAAGCCCCCGTTTTACACACTTACCCACACACACCATTGTCTTTAACAACTCCTCTTTGCTACTGTACAGCTGTTCGACTCCCCGACTTCCTGCCTTTTTCAAATAACCTGGTTTTAATTTACGTTTCGTTGCGGTTTCCTCCGTAGAATCTGGCTGGAAAAGCCGGCGGGAGGGTGGAAGACGGGGAATTCTCAGCACCCCCACCGACCCCGAGAACTTAATGAAACGAAGGAAAAGCCCCTTCCCCGAATTCAAAGTTTATTGCGTTATCCTTTGTAAACACAAAAGCGTTTGAAGGGGGGGGACCGTTAGGAGGCCGAGCGGCACATTCTTGGGAACAAACCCACATAAAGTAGCTATTCTTGCCCGACAAGCCAGCGTCCAGATGTTGTTGTGGTCCGCCAGCAGCCTGCGGAGCTGGCAGCGGAGTCGGACAGCGATGAGGCTGAGGAAGAACAGGGGCCAGTCCTGGAGGGGGAAGGGCCGGATGAGGGCAGAGATGGGGCCAGGGCCATCGGGGAATGATGTGCGGCCTCCGGAGCCTCCAGACGCTGACAGCAGAGAGGCAGAGGAACAGGAGGAGCCTGTTCCTAGTGCATGCATTCGAAGAGCTGCCAGAAAGCAAGAGCAGCTGAAGCAAAGAGGACGACTCAGGAGTAAGGCCAAGAGATGATTGGCCCCTCCCAGAAGGCTTAAAAGACCAGCAACGGCTCTCGGGCTCTTTGCTGGAAAACAACGTTGATAGTCTTGCTGCACTTATCTCTAGTCGGTGTCTTCTGCTTCTGAACTATCGCCAAGAAAAGCCTTTGGCATTTTGCCTAATTATCCCAAGGTCGGCGATAAACTGTGGAATGGTGTTTTGAAGAATTTGCTTTCTTTTAGTTAGGACTACGCTGAGAATGAGTTCCAACCGTTTGCGTTTAATGCTAACTACTTGGGCGCTGGGTCACAACCGATGTGGAGAGGAGGCTAAAATATACGAAAAACAGTTGCAGGGAATTGGGAATGTTTAATTTAGTGAAAAGAAGGTCCAGGGGGGACCTGAGAAGAGCTCGAGCAGAGGGCTGGACTAGAAGACCTCCAAGGCCCCTTCCGACTCTCTTATTCTGTCTCAGGACTAAGGGTGACATGATAGCAGTCTTCTAATATTTGGGGAGTAAGATATAGAGAAGAGGGGGTCAATTTATTCTCCAAGGCAGAACAAGAAGCAACAGATGGAAACTAATCAAGGAGAGAAGCAACCTGGAATTAAGGAGGAACTTCCTAACAGTGAGGACAATTAACCAGTGGAACAACTTGCCACCAGAAGTTGTGGGTGCTTCATCACTGGAGGTTTTTAAGAAGAGATTGGACATCTATTTGTCTGAAATGGTAGAGGAATTCCCGCCTGAGCAGGGGGGTGGACTAGAAGACCTCCGAGGTCCCTTCCAACTTTGTTACTCTGTTATTCTGCTAACCGCTTCTGTAAAGCACCAGCAGGCAGGACAAGAAGCAACGGATGGAAACTAACCAAGGAGAGAAGCAACCTGCAACGAAGGAGGAATTTCCTGAAAGTGAGGACAATTAATCAGTGGAACAGCTTGCCACTAGGAAGTTGTGGGTGCTCCATCCCTGAAGGCTTTCAAGAAAAGATAGGGCAACCATTTGTCTCAAATGGTGTAGGGTTTCCTGCTTGTGGAGTGGGTTGGACTAGACAACCTCCGGGGACCCTTCCGACTCTGTTATCCGGTTAACCTGCTATTCTGTGAAATGCCGTTATTCCCCTTCCAATTTGGTAGAATGAGATTTCCCACCAAGACGTGTGGGCTTCATGAAGGCGACGTGGGAAGGTAGAGCAACGCAAGTTTCTAGTCCTTAAGAGGGAAAGCCATCTCAGAAGTTTGTGCAGCAGCTGGATTAGGTTTCAGTGGTCCAGTTTTCAGAGGATGTGGGGGGGAGATGCAAGGATTTGGGGGGACGAAGACAGTCTGAAGCCTCCTTCAAAGCACCTTTGGTGCACCGCCAAGTGCAAAGCAGGGGGTTGGACTAGAAGACCTCCAAGGTCCCTTCCGACTATGTTATTCTCTGTTGTGGGTGCTCCATTACTGGAGGTTTTTAAGAAGAGATTGGACAACCATTTGTCGGAAACAGTACAGGGTCCCCTGCTCGAAAAACGGGGTTGGACTAGAAGACCTCTGAGGTCCCTTCCACCTCTATCACAGGTAGTCCTCGACTTACGACCACAATTGAGCACACACAGTTCTTGCTCCTAAGCGAGACATCTGTGAAATGAGCTTGGCTCCCTTCCGCGCCTTTTCTTGCCACCGTCGTTAAGCGAATCACCGTTGAGTTAGTCACACCGTTGTTAAGTGAACCTGGCTTCCCTCTCTCCCGCCCCCCGCCCCCATGGATTTTGCTTTGACCCCGGGACACTGCAACCCGTCGTAAATACGAGTCAGTGACCCGATCATCCGGAATTTTGATCCGTGGGGGGGGGGACACCGCAACGGTCGTAAGTGTGAAAAAACGGCCACAAGTCACGTTTTTTTCAGGGGCGTAACTTCGGACGGTCACTAAATGAACCGTTGTAAGTCGAGGATTAGCTCTAGGTTCGGATTCTCCTTTTCCACCAAGCAACCGAGGAGCCAAGGACGACATTCCCGCCCCCCCCAGTCCCCAAATGGGATAACCCCCCCCCCGCTTTACCCCGTGGCTGCAGCCATGACGCAGCCCCCCTGAGACGCCGTGGCCTCCACGCAGCAGCCGTCCGCGTCGTGACTCATGCCGAAATTGTGGCCGATCTCGTGGGCCATGGTGGCGGCAGCTCCGATGGGCAACTCCGAGTGGTCCTAGTTTTGGGGGGTGGGGGGGGAGAGAGAGAGAGAGAGGAAAAGGCTCATCAGCTAGAAGAGGGGAGGGGGCCCAGTTGGAGGAAGGGAGGGGCGGATGTGATTTCCCACGCCCCTGATTACGGCCAAGTACGGCCACTCAATTCGGCATCAGCCGAATTGAGTGGGTGGGCTTGATTTTGGAATCCAAATTAGGGCTTTTCAAAGGATGTACGGCTGGCTTCTTGCAAAGGGGAAGGGGTTAGGTAGGAGAAAGAGAAGATCCCCCCCGTCCCCCACCCCAATTCCTTGCCATTCCCTCCCCTTGCGCCCACGGCCAGCAGTTCGATCCTGACCGGCTCAAGGATGACTCAGCCTTCCGTCCTTTTGAGGTCGGTAAAATGAGGACCCTGATTATTGGGGGCCATAGGCTGACTGTAAATTGCTTAGGGTGGGCTGTAAAACCCTGTGAAGCGGTATATAAGTCTATATTATTGCTATTCTCTCCATCTCGCTCCTTCCCTTCCTCTCTCCTTCCTTCCCTTCTTCTTTTTCCCTTCGTTTCTTTCTCCTGATCCCGCTATCTATTCCCCTTTTCTTTTTCTCTCCCTCTTCTTTCCTCTCCTTCCTTCCTCCTGCCTTTCTCTGTCTCCTTTTCTTCCTTCCTTCCTTCCTTTTTCTTTCTTTTTCTTTCCTTCCCTTCCCTCTACTGTCTCCTTCCTTCCCTTCTTTTTTCCCATTTGTTTTCTTTCTCCTGCTCCCTCTTCTCTTATTTCCCTTCTCTTTTTCTCTCCCTCTGCTTTCCTCTCCTTCTTTCCTCCCCTTCCTTCCTCCTGCCTTTCTCTTTCTCCTTTTCTTCCTTCCTTCCTTTCTTTTTTTTTCTTTCCCTCCCTTCTCTCTACTGTCTCCTTCCTTCCCTTCTTTTTTCCCATTTTTTTCTTTCTCCTGCTCCCTCTTGTCTCTTATTTCCCTTCTCTTTTTCTCTCCCTCTTCTTTCCTCTCCTTCTTTCCTCCCCTTCCTTCCTCCTGCCTTTCTTTTTCTTTCTTCCTTCCTTCCTTTCTTTCTTTTTCTTTCGTTCTTTCCTTTCTTTCCTCCTCTCTACTGTTCCTTCCTTCCCTTCTTTTTTCCTCCTTCTTTTTCTTTCTCCTGCTCCCTCCATCTCTTATTTCCCTTCTTTTTTTTCTCTCCCTCTTCTTTCCTCTCCTCCCTCCCTCCCTCCCTCCTTTTTCTTTCTCTTTTTCTTTCTTTCTCTTCCTTCCTTTCTCTCTTGGGGGTGGCCTAGTGGTTAGAATGCAGAATTGCAGGCTAACTCTGCCGACCACCAGGAAGTTCGATCCTGACCAGCAGAAGGTTGACTCAGCCTTCTGTCCTTCGGAGGTCAGTAAAATGAGGACCCCGATGGTTGGGGGTGGGGCATATGTAAATTTGTGGCTGGCTGGGGAATTCTGGGAGTTGAAGTCCATAGGTCTTAAAATGACCAAGATTGGACACCCCTGGCCCCTTCAAGAAGAGACTGGACTGCCATTTGTCAGAAATGGTGTAGGTTGTCCTGCTTGGGTGGGGGGTTGGACTAGATGACCTACAGGGTCCCTTCCAACTCAGTTAATCTGTTACAGAAAAGCTCTCGGGTGGTTTTCCCAGGAGTCACACAATGCGTTGCAAGCAAAGAGCATTTTTATCCCGTATCATTGAGGGAGGAGCTGTCGGTCAGCAAGACGAAAGGACGAGGGGAAGCCATCTTCTTCTTACCATGTTCACGCCCCCGGAATTCTCCGCACTGCACATGCCCTCCAGGGGCGCCATTCCGATGGTGGTCCCTCTGAAGGTGATCCCTCTGCAAGAGTCATGAGAACAAGGATGGGGGACGGAGCAAAGAATATTGATTATAGTCCCTCCATCCATCCATCCATCCCTCCCTCCCTCCCTCCCTTCCTTCCTTCTTTTCTTCCTTCCTTCCTTCTTCCCTTCCTTTCTTCATTTCTTCCTCCCTTCCTCCCTTCCTTTCTTCCTTCCTTCTTCCCTTCCTTTCTTCCTTCCTTCCTCCCTTCCTTCCTCCCTTCCTTTCTTCCTTCCTCCTTTCCTTCCTGAGCTTGTTGATCAGAAAGGTTGGCAGTTCGGCAGTTCGAATCCCTAGTACAGATCTCCTGCGTGAGCAGGGGGTTGGAGTAGATGACCTCCAAGGTCCCTTCCAACTCTGTTACTGTTAGTCACTTCCAGCCTCCCTGCCTTCTCTCCGTCCGTGCTCCCTTCCCTCCATCCTTCCTGATTCCTTCCTTATCTTCCTTCCCTGCCTCCCTCCTTTGTCTTCCTTCCTTCTCTATTTACCTTCCTTCCTCCCATCTATCCATCTCCTTCATTCCTTCTCTCCCTCTGTCCCTGCTTCCCCCCATCCCGATTCCTTGATTCCATATCTGTCTGTCTGTCCGTCCATCCATCATCTATCTATAATCTATTTATTGTATCTATCATTTATATATATCCATCCATTATCAGATCTATCTATCTATCTATTTATCTATGGTATCTATATCTATATCTATTTCTGTCCATCCATCCATCAAACATCTATTTATTATATCATCATTTATATCTATTTGTCCATCCAACATCTATCGGGCTGTCTGGCTATCTATCTATCATCTCCATCCATTCACCAGCTATCATCTATTTATTGTATCTATCATTTATATCCATCCATCTATCCATCCATCATATCTATCTATCTATCTATCTATCTATCTATCTATCTATCTATCATCTATCTATCTATCTATCTATCTATCTATCTATCTATCTATCTATCTATCTATCTATTTTTCTACCGTGTCTGTCTGTCTATCTATCTATCATCTATCTCTATCTATCTCTATCCATCCATCTATCTATCTATCTACCTACCTACCTACCTATCATCTGTCTGGCTGTCTATTTATCATCTCCATCCATTCACCAGCTATCATCTATTTATTGTATCTATCATTTATATCCATCCATCTATCCATCCATCATATCTATCTATCTATCTATCTATCTATCTATCTATCTATCTATCTATCATCTATCTATCTATCTATCTATCTATCTATCTATCTATCTATCGTGTCTGTCTAGCTATCTATCTATCATCTATCTCTATCTATCTCTATCCATCTATCCATCTATCCATCCATCCATCTACCTACCTACCTACCTACCTATCATCTGTCTGTCTGTCTGTCTGTCTGTCTATCTGTCTCTCTCTCTCTCTCTCTCTCCCTCCCTATCTACCTATCTCATGCCATGGGAAGCCATTTTGAGTTTTGGGGACCCCGGAGGAAGGGCTCACGTGAGGAGCTGGGCGTTGTCGTGCTTCTTGCGACTTCTCAGCGTCTTCTTCCACTGGAGAAAGGAGACCAGGGTGGTGTGGGAGTCCTCGCTGACCGTGCACTTGTCGTGGTCCGTCCACACTTCCAGGCCGATGAGGGCCACTTTGATGTTCAGCGACCTGTAAAACTGAGAGGGAGAAGCAGGCATGGGAGGCCGGCTGGGAGGAGCCCTTGGGGAAAGAACCTCGGACTGCCTGGCAGGTCCGGAGGCCGAGTGGACAAGCGCAGTCCTCGACTTCAAACCATTCCTTTAGTGGCCATTCAAAATTACGACGACACTGAAAAAAATATAAGAGCTTTTTCCCACTTACGACCGTTGCAGCATCCCCTCTGGTCACGTCATCAAAATTCAGCCGCTTGGCAACTGGCTCATATTTATGACGGTCGCAGGGTCCGGGGGGGTGACCTTCTGACCAGCAGACTCCATGGGGAAACCAGATCCACTTAACAACCGGGTTACTAATTTAACAACTGAAGTGATTCACTTAACAACTGGGGCATGAAAGGTCGCAAAATGGAGGCAGAACGCGCTTCGCAATTGTCTCACTTAGCAACAGAAATTATTTATGCTCAATTGTGGTACGGATAGTACCCCAAACTCACAGTTTTAGACTTTAAGTTGCCCAAGGTCACTTAGTTGATTTGGATGGCTACAGAAAAGGAAGGAAGGAAGGAATCAGGACGGAGAGAAAGAAAGAAAGAAGGAAGGAAGGAAGGAAGGAAGGAAGGAAGGAAGGAAGGAAGGAAGGAAGGAATCAGGACGGAGAGAAAGAAGGAAGGAAGGAAGGAAGGAAGGAAGGAAGGAAGGAATCAGGAGGGAGAGAAAGAAGGAAGGAAGGAAGGAATCGGAGGGAGAGAAGGAAGGAAGGAAGGAATCAGGAGGGAGAGAAAGAAGGAAGGAAGGAAGGAATCAGGAGGGAGAGAAAGAAGGAAGGAAGGAAGGAATCAGGAGGGAGAGAAGGAAGGAAGGAATTGAGTGGGAGAGAAGGAAGGAAGGAAGGAATCAGGAGGGAGAGAAGGAAGGAAGGAAGGAAGGAAGGAATCAGGAGGGAGAGAAGGAAGGAAGGAAGGAATCAGGAGGGAGAGAAGGAAGGAAGCAATCGAGTGGGAGAGAAGGAAGGAAGGAATCAGGACGGAGAGAAAGAAAGAAAGAAGGAAGGAAGGAAGGAAGGAAGGAAGGAAGGATGGAAGGAAGGAATCAGGAGGGAGAGAAAGAAGGAAGGAAGGAAGGAAAGAATCAGGAGGGAGAGAAGGAAGGAAGGAAGGAATCAGGAGGGAGAGAAGGAAGGAAGGAACTGAGCGGGAGAGAAGGAAGGAAGGAAGGAAGGAAGGAAGGAAGGAAGGAAGGAAGGAAGGAAGGAAGGAAGGAAGGAAGTTGACAATTACCTTGTCTACATAATTAGCAATCTCCAGAATCCGCTGTTTGGTGACTCCCAAATTCTGATTTTGAGCTCTAAACTGTGAAAGAACAATGAGTGAGAAAAAGGAAGACAACTGCAGTGCAAAACCTGACTAGGTGGCTCAGTGGATATGACCCTGAGCTTGTCGATCAGAAAGGTCGGCAGTTCGGCGGTTCAAATCCCTAGTACAGGTCTCCTGCGTGAGCAGGGGGTTGGACTAGATGTCCTCCAAGATCCCTTCCAACTCTGTTACTGTTACCTTTCCTTCTTCCAAAAAGATGAATTATCTCTTCCACGGTCACCAGTGTGCAAAGGCACACATAGGAAGGGACCTTGGAGGTCTTCTAGTCCACCCCCTCTGCTCAGGCAGGAAGACCTCTACCATTTCAGACAAGTGGCTGTCCAATCTCTTCTTAAAAGCCTCCCGTGATGGAGCACCCACAACTTCTGGTGGCAAGGAGTTCCACCGGTTAATTGTCCTCACCGTTAGAAAATTTCTTCAAGGAGCTGACCGCGAGAACTCACAACTTCTCAAGATCTTGCCTTCAGGGGGTTCTAACACTGGAGGCTTTCAGAAAGAGATTGGACAATCCTGTTCTGTCCCCAACCACATGCACACACACCAACAGACGTTCAGGAGTTAAAGACCAAACCAGCCGGCAAAATCCTTTTCCTTATGATAACGGAACTTGGCAACAACCTAGTGGCTGCCTGCCAAGAGTTTATTATTTACGAAGAGGAGAGATAACTTCTCCCCACTCCTGGTACATCAAAGGAAACAGCTCAATAATTACGGAGTCAATCAAGTCCAGAGATAATCCAGCAAAGTCTATAGCCAAAAGTCCGGCAATGCAGAATGGCGTGGAAGCTTTCAGCTTTGTTCGTCACAAGGTTTGACTGGCCACCACGCTCCCTTTTATATCCTGTGGGGTGTGGTCCAGTGACTCAGCCTAATCTCGGGCACGCCTTTTCTTCTGTTGCGCGCGCTTATCTCTGCGACGCTGGCATGGATCCAGCCAAGACTCATTACCCTCATCACTGTCCATCTGTGGCTGCGTGGACGTGCTTGGCCCCGGCCCTATCTCTTGCCCTTCGGCGGACCCCGAAGGCATTGCCAGAGAGGAGGGTCCTGGAGAGGGAGGCCTTGCCAAACTCCTCCCCTTCACTCTCGGAGTCCTCTCCTGCCGATGACACAGGCTCCGGTAACAGAGCCACAACAAATCCTTTGTCTGACATAGTAGTAGGTTTCCTGCTTGAGCAGAAGGTTGGACTAGAACAGGGGTCGGCAACCTTAAACACTGAGAGAGCCATTTGGACCCGTTTCCCACAGAAAAGAAAACACCGGGAGCCACAAAACCCTTCCCGTGCCTGACTATTTCTTGAGCGGCCACAAAATTAGCATACGTCGTTGAATTAAACGTTCTGTTTTCTTCTGATACTTTTCTTTTCTTGGATTTATCCATGGTTGGCCTACTGGGGATTGAAAAGCTCAATAAATAGCGTGCCAACAGATGTTGCACATTGGCGGTTGTGACACATATTTTGAGTGATAGGGAGCCTCAGCAGAGGGGTGAAAGAGCCACATGCGGCTCCAGAGCCGCAGGTTGCTGACTCCTGTACTAGAAGATCTCCAAGATCCCTTCCGACACTGTTATTCTGTTATTCGCTGCTATATCCTCTTTGTCTCTCTCTCTCTCTGATGGTCCCACTCAGGCTTGAAGATGGCCGATGAGGCCTCTACTGGTGTGACTAACTGGGAAGTTCAGAAGTTGGCCCTGGGTTCAAGACACGCGTGTCCCTTCCAGCTGGAAGAGAAAGAATGCTCACCATGGAGTAATCTGCCACGATGAAGAGCTCCATATACTTCAAGGCTCTCCAAGAATCCCTTCTTTTCTGCAAGACAAAATGGTTTTGGGTCATCAGGGGAACCAAGAGGGCAGCAGGGAGACCCTAAAACTGGTCTTCATCCCGGCCCTTCCCCAAAAACTCACTGCCAGGACCAAATATGGACATTCAACTTCACGTTGAGGGATGCAAGTTTTTCTCGACTTTGGGAGAAACCCAAACGGACGTAGGGGCAATCCTCAACGTACGGCCGCAGGGGAGCCCCAGATGGATGTTGCTAAGTGAGAGATTTGTTCAGCGGGCTCTGCCTTGCTTTACGACCTTCCTCACCCCTTTCGTTGAGTGAATCGCTGCCGTTGTTAAATCAGTAACCTGGTTGTTAAGTGAATCTGGTTCCCCCCCCCCTTGACCTGGCTCGTCAGAAGGTCGCGAAAGGGCTCCAGAGACACCCCGACCAGCCGCGAGTCGGCTGTCAAGCATCCGAACCAGTGGTGGGTTCCTCCCGGTTTGGCCGAGCCGGTAGCGGTGACGATATGATATGATGATATTACTAGCCATCTTGTCTTTCATTTCTCCGCCTTCTTTCCTGTCTCTCTTCTAACTCTGTTAGGAAATGGCTATTGCCTAACTAGTTGGTCAGGCAATATATAAACTATCAATACATGTTTGTCAAAAGGTATTATATTGCTTTAAGACTGTATTGCATCATCCTGTATCCTGATTGGCTAAGCTCTGTAGCCAATGTACTTCAGGGAAAGCCTGAATCATGGCTTGTGGGCACTACCCCATTTTATCCGCTTATTTGCTGTTACTCTCTACCGGATCTCTCTGCATGATCACTGTTTGATCATTGCTACTTGTTGCTTTTCTACTATTTACTGAATGTTTTAATACTGAACTTGTTCCTGTTTGAAACTCAAGAAGAACTGTTTTTATTGGGTAATGACAACAACTGGTAAGAAGACTTTGTACTTGGAATATCCCTGAATTGATATTTTAACTATCGCCTTATCTGTGTATGACTTGGATTGTTTTTGGACTTTGCTTTACTTTTTTCTAAAAAGTAAATACTACCACAGCTCAGTGTGTCAGTATATTAACTGTGGTTATTCACTCTCAGCCGCTTTCATGTGCATACTCAAGGGGTACTCTGCTCAATAACCCATAACATTGGTTATGAGCCAAGCATATCCTTAACAAACTCCACCCAACCGAATCCTCGACTTACGACTTATGTTCATTCAGTGACCATTCCGACGGCCCTTTTTGGGGGAAAAAGTGACTTACGACCGTTTTTCACTCTTACGAACCAGGGAACGCAGCTTCCCCATGGTCAAAATTCGGATGCTTGGCCACCGATTCGTATTTATGACGGTAACGGGGTGGGGTGTCACGTGATTCCCCTCTGGTGACCTTCCGTCAAGCAAAGTCAAGGGGGAAGCCAGATTCGCTTAACGACCATGGTTCCTAACTTATCAACTGCAGCGATTCACAGAACGACGGTGGCAAGAACGGTCGTAAAATGGAGCAAACCTCACTGAATCGGTGTCTCCCTTCGCCACATGAATCTGGGGCTCAATTCCAGTCATAACTCGAGGAGCAGAACTTCTCCATCTGCAACTTCTACCATCTGTCTAGCTGTGAGATTGGCCTGCATCTCCTCCAACCTAGCCCGGGTAGGATTTGAACACAGGATCTTCCTACTCGCTTCAATGGCTGGAAGATTCCAGTGAGGTCGGCCAGGCTGTTGGGTAGCAGGTCCCCTTGTTGGCAAGAGCCCCCTTTGACCAACAAGTCCTTCGCCCGAAACAGGGTGTGAGCTGCCGATGTGGTGGTGTTGGCTGGAGGTTTCAGGTAGTAACTGCTGTTGCGATCCAGGACAATCAGCCCGCTGGTTGGAGAATAAAAAAAAAAAATTAGGATAGGATAGGATAGAATTAGGAGAGGAGAGGAGGGGAGGAGAGGAGGAGAGGAGGAGGGGAGAGGAGAGAGGAGGAGGGGAGAGGAGAGGAGGAGAGGAGGAGAGGAGAGGAGAGGAGAAGGGAGAGGAGAGAGCTGGAAGGGACCCTGGAGGTCTTCTAGTCCCACCCCTTCGTCAAGCAGGAGATCCTATATCATTCCAAACAAATGAGGATCCAATCTCTTCTCAAAAATCTCCAGTGATCTCGGCAGAGACGGCAGCTGCGCTCTGCCCATGCTCTGAGGCGTTACTGAAAACGTCGCCCTTACTAAGCAGAAACAAAGCCCGCAGACTAGGTGCACAGGTAGCCCTCGACTTACAGCAATTGTTATAATAAAACAGTTTTGTTTGGGACCAATTGTGTCTTGTAATGACTAAGTGAGCCTGGGTCACAACAGTGACTGACTTAACAACTGTAGTGATTCACTTCACAACTGTGGCCAGAAAGGTCGTAGGATGGGGCAAAACTCATTGAACCCATGTCTCACTTAACAACAGAAATTTTGGACTCCATCGTGGTCGTAAGTCGAGGACTACCTGTATTCGAACGCAGCTCTCATTTCCCCTTCCACAGTCTCTTTTCTGCAAGCGAAATAAACCCAGCTCCTCCCAAGATTTATCTGGGGCCCAACCTTCACCTCACTTTCACCCCAAATCCAGAAAATAGCCACATTGGAAAAAATAGAAAATAGTCATTTCTCAAATTAGCTTTACCTCACCCAAAGCTGGCATGTAATTGGCAGCAAATTTTCTATTTTCGATGACTCAAATGCAAAACCACTTAGGCTTGAAATTCTTCATCCTGAGTTCAAACCGCAACGGTCCCAAATTAAAAATAGTCCTCCTAACCATGCTAAACGTGTTTCGTGCTGCAGACAGGACCGCCTTGGATTTCAAAGCCAGACTCTGGAACTCAAACAGAAACCGTTTTAATCGCATCCATGAACACCGACTGGCAGCCAGAACACAGGATGAAAACTCTTTCATTTCACTAGGCCAGGCGAAGTCCCCTACAAATGCTAGAAAATTCGTAGAAGCCTGGCACTGGACAAACTGGCTATCAACAGGCACATAGAGATAAACAACATTTACACACCATTCCAAAGAGGCCATACAGATAAGCAACATTTACACACCATTCCAAAGAGACCATACAGATAAACAACATTTACACATCATTCCAAAGAGACCATACAGATAAGCAACATTTACACACCATTCCAAAGAGACCATACAGATAAACAACATTTACACACCATTCCAAAGAGATCATACAGATAAGCAACATTTACACACCATTCCAAAGAGGCCATACAGATAAGCAACATTTACACACCATTCCAAAGAGACCATACAGGTAAACAACATTTACACACCATTCCAAAGAGACCATACAGATAAACAACATTTACACACCATTCCAAAGAGACCATACAGATAAGCAACATTTACACACCATTCCAAAGAGACCATACAGATAAACAACATTTACACATCATTCCAAAGAGACCATACAGATAAGCAACATTTACACACCATTCCAAAGAGGCCATACAGATAAGCAACATTTACACACCATTCCAAAGAGACCATACAGATAAGCAACATTTACACACCATTCCAAAGAGGCCATACAGATAAGCAACATTTACACACCATTCCAAAGAGACCATACAGATAAACAACATTTACACACCATTCCAAAGAGACCATACAGATAAGCAACATTTACACACCATTCCAAAGAGACCATACAGATAAGCAACATTTACACACCATTCCAAAGAGACCATACAGATAAACAACATTTACACACCATTCCAAAGAGACCATACAGATAAGCAACATTTACACACCATTCCAAAGAGACCATACAGATAAGCAACATTTACACACCATTCCAAAGAGGCCATACAGATAAGCAACATTTACACACCATTCCAAAGAGACCATACAGATAAACAACATTTACACATCATTCCAAAGAGACCATACAGATAAGCAACATTTACACACCATTCCAAAGAGATCATACAGATAAGCAACATTTACACACCATTCCAAAGAGGCCATACAGATAAGCAACATTTACACACCATTCCAAAGAGGCCATACAGGTAAACAACATTTACACACCATTCCAAAGAGACCATACAGGTAAACAACATTTACACACCATTCCAAAGAGACCATACAGGTAAACAACATTTACACACCATTCCAAAGAGACCATACAGGTAAGCAACATTTACACACCATTCCAAAGAGACCATACAGATAAGCAACATTTACACACCATTCCAAAGAGACCATACAGATAAGCAACATTTACACACCATTCCAAAGAGGCCATACAGATAAGCAACATTTACACACCATTCCAAAGAGACCATACAGGTAAACAACATTTACACACCATTCCAAAGAGACCATACAGATAAGCAACATTTACACACCATTCCAAAGAGACCATACAGATAAGCAACATTTACACACCATTCCAAAGAGGCCATACAGATAAGCAACATTTACACACCATTCCAAAGAGGCCATACAGATAAGCAACATTTACACACCATTCCAAAGAGACCATACAGATAAACAACATTTACACATCATTCCAAAGAGACCATACAGATAAGCAACATTTACACACCATTCCAAAGAGACCATACAGATAAACAACATTTACACACCATTCCAAAGAGACCATACAGATAAGCAACATTTACACACCATTCCAAAGAGGCCATACAGATAAGCAACATTTACACACCATTCCAAAGAGACCATACAGGTAAACAACATTTACACACCATTCCAAAGAGACCATACAGATAAACAACATTTACACACCATTCCAAAGAGACCATACAGATAAGCAACATTTACACACCATTCCAAAAAGACAATCAAAAGACTAAAAAGGAAACCAAAAGACCCAAACAACTCCTCGCCAGCTATCAACGCCCAGATAAGCAGGGATTAACACCCGAGAAACAATCAAGCAGAAAGCAATACCTCAATCAAGGAACTACCAACTCAGACAAACAAGCTAATACAGTAGTAAATGGCAACCTAATTCAGGAACCACTATGAACACACTCCCACCAATACTGACAGGAGAAGCCACAAGTATATAAACAGAAACCGAACCGCTCTACCTTCTACCACTGATGATGTTACCTAGTTGGGCCATGAAATGTCTGTAAGAAAATAACCAAGCTCAGAGAACATCAAGGACCCCTCAGTCTTTTTTCCTCCTCCTCCTCCTCCTCCTCCTCCTCCTCCTCCTCCTCCTCCTCCTCCTCCAGACAAACATCTCACTTAGCAACAGAAACGTTGGGCTCAATTTTAGTCATAAGTCAAGGACTACCTGTATTTTCCTATGGAGCATTTCTCAACCTTGGGCCCTTTGAGGTGGGTGGACCTCAAGTCCCAGAATTTCCCCAGCCAGCTCAGTTGTTGAGGCTGAGAAATGCCGTTTTAGCTCCTTGGACTTGCTCTAAGGGCTCCGGCATCCTCCCTGCAGTGTCTCCCTCCCTTGCAAATTAAGAACAGGCCCGCCTGGGAATGGGTCCGTGTCCTTATCCAAACACAATACAAAACCCTGGCCTTAAGGAAGGACACGGACCACCTCGGAGGAGCCTGGCTTAAGCATTTGCAACCTCCGAGTAACGAAAAGGAGGAAAGTCTGGCTAGGCAGCAGAGACTTGAATTCGGGTCCCGTCGAGCCTGGAAAGCAGAGAGATTTCCGTGGCTCTCCCGTGGTCCTGTCCACAAGGGACGGCGGTTGGGGGGGGGCAAGGCTTCCGGCTGACATCAGGAGTTGGGAATGAGGACTGGCCGTGAGAGAGAGAGAGGGAGGGGTTGGGGGGTCCGCGTGTGGGGCTGCATAGCTGGAGGATGACTTCACTGGCCGGCATTCCTGGCTCAGCCGGAGAGAGAAGAGAGAGGCTGGCAGGGCTATTTTGGGTCCTGCGGAAGCCCTCTTCCTTGCTGAGGGTGGGTGGGGGGGATTCAAAGGGGGAAGGTCCTCATGCAGGGACAGCCAAGCCCCCCTTCCCTCCCCTCCCCCGCCAGGGTCTGGGAAAAGCATCGATACAGTTCAAAGTCATCCACAGTTGCAGGAGTCCTGGGAATGGGATGCTCAGAAGAAAGTTGGGGTGGGGGGTGGGGGGAGAGGGGTGGTGGGGGAGGGGGGGGGCTGAGAATGCACAGCCCCAAATGAAAGACCAGCGAAGATATTCTGGGCACCACAGAAAGAATTACTGTTCTATTCCGTTCTACTCTATTTACTCCATTCCATTCATCTATCATTCTATTCCTGTTTCTATTCTGTTCTGTTGTTCTGTTCTGTTCTCTTCTGTTCTGTTTTACTCTACTCCATCCCATTCCATCCCATCCCTCATCTATCTATTTCTATTATACTCTGTTCTATTCCTGTTTCTATTCTGTTCTGTTGTTCTGTTCTGTTCCGGTTTTGTTCTGTTTTGTTCTGTTCTCTTCTGTTCTGTTTTACTCTACTCCATCCCATTCCATCCCATCCCTCATCTATCTATTATACTCTGTTCTATTCCTCTTTCTATTCTGTTCTGTTGTTCTGTTCTGGTTTTGTTCTGTTCTGTTCTGTTCTGTTTTACTCTACTCCATCCCATCCCATCCCATCCCATCCCATCCCTCATCTATCTATTTCTATTATACTCTGTTCTATTCCTCTTTCTATTCTGTTCTGTTGTTCTGTTCTGGTTTTGTTCTGTTCTGTTCTGTTCTCTTCTGTTCTGTTTTACTCTACTCCATCCCATCCCATCCCATCCCTCATCTATCTATTTCTATTATACTCTGTTCTATTCCTGTTTCTATTCTGTTCTGTTGTTCTGTTCTGTTCCGGTTTTGTTTTGTTCTGTTCTGTTTTACTCTGCTCCATCCCATCCCATCCCTCATCTATCTATTTCTATTATATTCTGTTCTATTCCTGTGTCTGTTCTGTTCTGTGTGTCTGTTCTGTTCCTATTCCGTTCCTGTTCCTGTTCCTGTTCCTGTTCCATTCCATTCCATTCCATTCCAAACAATATATTCACTGCACCGAATCTTCAACAGGCCTTCTAAGGAAGGATCCGGGGCCTATCGTACAAATGAACTAGCGGATAAGCAAACGAACCTCACGCTTTTGTGCAAGGGAAAGCAAGTCTCTTGCCTCTTCGGCACAATTAATCCACGGAACGACTTCCCTCCAGAGGTTGTAGGTTGCTCCATCACTGGAGGTTTTCAAGAAGAGACCGGACAGCCATTTGTGCGAAATGTACAGGGTCCCCTGCCTAAGCTGGACTAGAAGACCTCCGAGGTCCCTCTTTTCTTCCGTATTCTCTTCTTACCTGAAGCCGGAGCAGGTACTGAGCACCACCCAGGAATCCACGTGTCCTCGGACGTAGCCGTGAAAATAACAGAGTTCCTGCAAAGAGAGGCCACAACAACATGGAAAATGCAGGTAAGACTTACAGCCACAATTCAGCCCAAAATATTCTGTCTGTCAGGTTTCGATGTCGTCTCAAATAAATTGCATTTCCAAACAGATAATCTTTGATGAAATATTTCATTTATTAAGCACGACAATCTGTCCCCGATTATGTCGAAGCCAACACTGACTTCCTGGCCCCAAACCTTCCCTTTCCGTTCCCCAATTCTCTGCGTCTCATTGGCCCTCTTCCCAAATCACTCTCCCCATATCTACTACTTCAGTTCCCAGGAATGTCCCCCCTCCCATCTCATCTCCTAGGGGATATTATCTTCAGGGAAAATAAGTAGGTGAAAAGTCAAGCGTCCTCTTGCCAGCTGCCCCCTCCTCTCCTCCTCATGTCAGCACTGGAATGAATGTAGTTTGAAGTGCTGACACTGTGGCTAAGTGAGACCACAGTGAAGGGAAGTTTTGCCCCATTTTATGACCTTTCCTGCCACCGCTGTTAAGCGAATCACTGCAGCGGTTAAGTTGCAAAGCCGGTCGTTAAGCGAATCTGGCTTTCCCCCCCTCCCCCAGTTGACTTTGCCCATCAGAAGGTCGCCGAAGGGGATCCCTGCAACCGTCATAAATACGAGCCGGTCGCTAAGCGTCTGAATTTCGATCACATGATTTTGGGGATGGTGCAAATTTTTTACTACTGGTTCTATGGGCGTGGCTTGGTGGGCGTGGCAGGAGAAGGATAGTGCAAAATCCCCATTTCCTCCCGATCAGCTGGGACTCGGGAGGCAGAGAATAGATGCAGGCAGGGCCAGTTTGAATTTTTACTACCGGTTCTCCGAACTACTCAAAAATTTTATTTTTATTTTTTAAATTTGATTTATATGCTGCCCTTCTCCAGAGACTCAGGGCGGCTTACAATGCGTTAAGCATTTCCACTACTGGTTCTCCAGAACTGGTCAAAACCTGCTGAAACTGGATGCAACAGTCGTAGGTGTGGACAACGGTCATAAGTCCCCTTTTTCAACGTCATAGTACCTTTGAATGGTCGCTAAATGCTCCGTTGCAAGTCAAAGACTACCTACATGAGCAACATTGTCCGCTGGGTGAGATTATTGTGAATTTTGCCTGCAGACTCATTCAGGATTTGTACAGCATCTCAAACCTAATTAAAATTAATAACCAAGCTAATTTCATCCCAGCTGATGGTTTATTAGTTGAACTAATCCCAATTTTAGTTAATGCAGCATCTAAAACAGTGTTTCTCAACCTTGGAAGCTTGAAGATGGGTGGACTTCAACTCCCAGAATCCCCCAGCCAGCAGCACTCAGACAAAACAGCCATCAACGGGCACATAGAGATGGACCACATTTACACACCATTCAAAAGAGACAATCCAAAAGCTAAAAGATCACTGCACTTCCTGGCCAGAAATAAAATACCCACAAGAGCAGAGATTAACACAGTGTTTCTCAACCTCAACCAGCGCTGCTGGCTGGGGGATTCTGGGAGTTGAAGTCCACCCATCTTCAAGCTACCAAGGTTGAGAAACACTGATCTAAAACAACTCTTTTCCGACAACTAAATAATCTTTGCTGCATTTGTTTGGCTCGTCCACTGATTCCCCGACTAACAGGTCACAAGAAATGAATTTTAAAACTCTGCTCTTCACCCAAACTTCGGTGAAAGCATCTTGTTAAGTACGTGTCTCTGGAGATTCTTGGTCATCCAAGTCATGGTTGTCCCTTTTTCAGGAGGCAACTGGACTTGGTTTTTTTCTTTTGAAGACGTCTCGCTTCTCATCCCAGAAGCTTCTTCAGTTCTGACTGAATGGTGGAGGACGGGAGGATTTATATTCCTTGCAGTCCTCTGGTCATTAGTACTCTCTCTGAGAGTCGCTGAGGCCGTTTGGAGATTTATCTGTGCCCCGAGTAGTGCAAATGGGTGTGGAAGCTTCTTGGAATTGCTGAAAGGACTGTGTTGTAAACACAATCCTTGTGGCTATCCCAACTGGGCCATCATCAAATCCAAACAAAGTCCTAGCAGGAGCATCTCCACCACGAAGAAGAGAACAATAAACAAAGCAATGATGTCATTCCACACGTTGCAGGAATATCTGAAAAACTTTTCAGATTTTCAACCCACACAACATAAATACACACTTGAAACCCGCTAAGGCAGAAGCTTGTCCACCCCAAGGATAAAAAAAACACCCAGTCACAAACTGGGCAACGTGGTAAATGCAGTACAATGGAGTGAGACGTGTGCAGATCTGTACATTGGAGAAACAAAACAGCCACTTCACAAACGCATGGCACAACACAGGAGAACAAACCCACCAGGACAAGATTCAGAGTCCATCTGCATTTGAAAGACAAAGGACACTCTTTTAAAGACAGCAAAGTCCATATTTTGGACTGCTGGTTTGAAAGAGGGGGTCAAAGAGGCCATCTGTGTCAAAATTGAACAGCCCTCTCTCAACAGAGGTGGGGAGAGATACACCACCACCTATCTCTGGCCTACAACACAGTCCTTTCAATAGTTCAAAGAAGGTTCTACACCCATTTGCATTATTCAGGTGATCCTGGGGACACAGATAAAACCTCCAAGTGGCCTCAATGACTCTCAGAGAGAGTACTAACGACCAGATGACTGCAAGGAATATAAATCCTTCCATTCTCCACCATTCACCCAGAACTGAAGAAGCTTCTTGGACGAGAAGTGAAACGTCTTCAAGGAAGAACAAAGAAAGTGCCTCTTGGGAAAAAAAAAAAAGCACCTTGGTTAAGTCAGGGAGAGAAAAATGAGAGATAAATTTACAATTTGGCCAGAGGAGAAGGTGGGACGAGGGTCGATTTTCCGCTTCCTTATTCAAGCAAAACGCCAAACCGACCACCGCAAAACCCAAAACAAATGACAGAAAGTTCCATGAAAATCGTTGCCTTTCCCCTCTAGCCTCACCCACCTACGAAAATAAAGATTTTCCCAGAACAGCTAATTAACCCAGGCTGCCATCTGATTGTTTAAAACAAAGAAGACATTTATGCAGGCAGAAGGAATTATGGCTCCGCAGGATCACAAGAACAAACAAAGTCAAAGGCAGATTTTTTTTAACATCAGCCGGATAATTTCTTCCCCTTTGACTAAAAGAGCAGTTAGCCAGCCGTGTCGGGCACGCTCAACAAAAACCGGTTTCCATCCACGCACGGCCCCAGGAAGCTTACATTTTCCACCTCTGCAGTGGAATTGCTCTTACGACAGCAAATTCGAATGAAGTCCCCGTAGTTTAGAAGCCAGGATTCGGAGCTGTTCATTGACAGGTGGAAGTACGGGGGTGAGAGTTTAGAAAGCAATTTAGAGGTTCGTTAAAATGGTGGTGTGCCAGAGGTGGGATTCAGCCAGTTCGAGGCGAACTGGTAGTAGCAATCTGCGCGGCGCAATCCTGTCCTATATCGCTGTGTTTTTGACGCCACACCCATGCACGGATGGCGCACGCGAGCGAATTGCCATGTTGTTTGACATCGCACATATATGTGGATGGCGCACGTAAGCGAATTGCCATGCTCTGTGACGCCACACGCATGCACGGATGGCGCACATGTGCACGAAGGTAGCGTGCATGCACGCTCACATTTCCAGTGCTGGGCGAACTAGTTGCTACCGTATGTGAAGTCCATCTCTGTGGTGTGCTGTATTCTTGCAAACAGAGATAGCCCTCGACTTACGACCACAACTGAGCTCAAAATTACCATTGCTAAGCAAGACACTTATTAAGTAAGTTTTGCCCCGTTTTACAACCATTCTGGCCGAATCACTGCAATTGTTATGTTGGTAACACCGTTGTTAAGTGAATCTGGCTTCCCCGTGGATGTTGCCTGTCAGGAGGTCACCAAAGGGGATCACGTGACCCCGGGCCAATGCGACCGTCATAAATACGAGTCCATTGCCAAGCATCCAAATTTTGGTCTCGTGACCCTGGGGACGCTGCAATGGTCATAAGTGTGAAAAATGGCCGTGCCCCTTTTTTCAATGCCATTGTAACTTTGGTCACTAAATGAACGGTTGCAAGTCGAGGACTACGGGTAGTCCTCGTTCTTACGACCGCAAGCGAGCCCATCATTTCTGTCGCTAAACGAGACATTTGTTAAGTGAGCTTTGTCCTATTTTACAACTTTTCTTGCCACATTTCGTTAAGTGAACCACTGCAGTTATTGAGTTAGTGACACGGCGGTCGTTAAGTGAACCCAGTTTCCCCCTCGACTTTGCTTGTCAGAAAGTGGCCAAAGGGGATCCCGTGCCCCTGGGAAAACGCGACCGTCATAAATACGAATCCGTCATCCAGCTGTCCGAATTTTGATCTCATGACCACGGAGACGCTTGCGACGGTCGTAAGTGTGAAAACCGGTCACATAAGTCACTTTTTTCAGTGCCCTTGTAACTTTGGTCACTAAAGGAGCCTGAGTGGCGTAGGAGGCTAATGCCTCCTACTAAGGCAGCATTTACATCCAGCTGCCTGCAATTACTGCAAGTTCGAATCTCACCAGGCTCAAGGTTGACTCAGCCTTCCATCCTTTCTAAGGTGGGTAAAATGAGGACCCGGTTTGTGGGGGCAATAAGCTGACTTTGTATAAATATACAAAAGTATGAAGGCTATTGCTTAACACCTTGTAAGCCGCCCTGAGTCTCCGGAGAAGGGCGGCATATAAAAATAAATAAAATAAAAAATAAAAATAAATAAATGAATGGTTGTAACTTGAGAACTACCTGTAAATCATTTCCCCCCCCCCCAACACCATGGTTAACAGGTTGCGCTTGATCTCAAATCTTATCTGCAGCTTCACAAAACTCGTTCTACTCACCGTGTGGTCGGGTGAGACGATCACCGGCTGCCCATTTTCGGCGTAATGTACCTCTGTGTAACCTGGAGACAGCAGCCTGCAGAGAATAAGGAAGGGAATGGACAATCGTTTAACGATGAGCCAGCCGTGTGCAGCGACAGCCAAAAAAGCCAACGCAATCCTAAACTGCATTAAGAGAGGGATAGAATCAAGATCCAAGGGAGGTAACTAATACCACTCTATAAAGCCTTAGTAAGGCCACACTTAAGAGTCCTGCATCCAGTTTTGGTCCCCACACTATAAAAAAGATGCGGAGACTCTAGAAAAAGTTCAGAGAAGAGAAACCAGGATGATGAGGGGTCTGGAGGATGAAAGATATGAAGGTTGGTTGCTGGAATTAAACTAGGAAGGTCTACTTTAGTTCTAATTCTTGTCTAGAATTGGAAAGGACGGGGGGAATATGATAGCAGTCTTTCAGTATTTGAAGGATGGACGGATGAGAGAGAGAATGAGAGAGAGAGAGAGAGAGAGAGAGAGAGAAGAGAGAGAGATAATAGAGTTATTTGATTTCTTTTTTATCCCACTTTTATTATTCTTACAAACTATCTAAGGCAGTGAGCATATCCAACACACCTTCCTCCTCCTATTTTGCCGACAACAACAATCCTGTGAGGTGGATTTGGCTGATAAATAAAATAAAATAAAATAGAGATGATAGATAGATAGATAGATAGATAGATAGAGATAGCACTATGATTCTGATTCATTTATCTATTAATGGAGCAATCGATCCATCGATCCATCTATATCTATCTATCTTCTATTTATCTATCTTCTATCATCTACCTACCTACCTATCTTCTATCTATCCATCCATCCATCCATCTATCCATCTATCTTATCATCTGTCTGTCTGTCTCCCTGCCTGCCTATCTATCATCTATCTATCTATCTATCTATCTATCTATCTATCTATCCATCCATCTATCTATCCATCTATCTATCTATCTTATCATCTGTCTGTCTGTCTCCCTGCCTGCCTATCATCTATCTATCTATCTATCTATCTATCCATCCATCCATCCATCCATCCATCCATCCATCCATCTATCTATCTATCTATCTATCCATCCATCCATCCATCCATCCATCCATCCATCCATCCATCCATCCATCCATCCATCCATCTATCCATCTATCTATCTATCTATCTATCTATCTATCTATCTATCTATCTATCTATCTATCCATCTATCCATCTATCTTATCATCTGTCTGCCTGCCTGCCTGCCTGCCTACCTACCTATCTACTGGAAGGGACCTTGGAGGTCTTCTGGTCCACCCCCCTACTCAAGCAGGAGACCCTCTCCCATTTCAGACAAATGGCTCTCCAATCTCTTTTTGAAAGCCTCCAGTGATGGAGCACCCACAACTTCTGGTGGCAGGCTGTTCCACGGGTCAATTGTCTTCACCGTCAGGAGATTTCTGCTCAGTCCCAGGTTGCATCTCCCTCGGAGGAGCATCCAATTCCCCTTCCCCCGAAGCCCCCCAATGGATGAAGGAGAACCGAAGCAAGGCAACTGGGGGGAGTGGGGGGGGGAGGGACCCTGCACGTCTGGTCTTCTCCTCCCGCAGGAATGCAAGAAGCCAGGATTGTCTCTCCGAAGGGACAACGCAAGGAACCCAACGCAGCCAACTCGGCCGGCCAAGAGAGCCGGAGGGGCTGCCTTAAATGGAGCAGCACGGACTGTTTGTTGTTATCACAAGACACGCACCAGAGCGGTTTGTGTACCAGAGAAGCCGACAAAAAGGAGCCTTTTTCTCAGCGGCTGGGAAAGCGAGGCGTGCATTGGGCATGAATCACACACCCATCCTGCTCCTCGCCGGTCCTTGTTTTATGAACTCGCGGCTGGGTCTCCAGACACGAACGAGAGAGGAAGTTGGGGAAGGAGACGAGGTCTTAAGTCTCCTTCCTCGGCTCCTTAAGCGCCGTGACTCTCTCGGGGTCTGGAGCAGTTCGTATAACAAGCCCCTGCCGTCCGGCTTCCCCCCTTTAGCAACCGGGGTGGGGTGGGGTTAGGGCGTCCTGCCCCGAACGCAGCTCCGCTGCAGGATGCTTCTAACGGGGCTCATTCGGCGATGCGGGAATTATTGTGTACGGATAGAAGTTCCTGCTGGGAACATATGTAGTACCCTGGGGGTTCTTGGGGCTCCCAGAGTTTGGTGGTTTTCTTGCAGACGTTTCATGACCCAACTGGGGAACATCATCAGTACTAGAAGGAAGTGGGGTTTGCAGAGGAGGAGGAAGAAGAGAAAGAGGAGAAGCAGGAGGAGGAGGAAGAGGAGAAAGAAGAGGAGGAGGAGGAAGAGGAAGAAGAGGCGCAGGAGGAGAAGAGGAGGAGGAGGAAGAGGAAGAAGAGGAGGAGGAGGAGGAGGAAGAAGAGGAGGAAGAAGAGAAAGAGGAGAAGCAGGAGGAAGAGGGAGTAGCAGGAGCAGGAGGAGAAGAGGAGGAGGAGGAAGAGGAAGAAGAGGAGGAGGAGGAGGAAGAGGAGGAGGAAGAAGAGAAAGAGGAGAAGCAGGAGGAAGAGGAAGAGGAGTAGCAGGAGCAGGAGGAGGAAGAGGAGAAAGAGGAAGAGGAAGAAGAGGAGCAGGAGGAGGAAGAGGAGGAGGAAGAAGAAGAGGAAGAGGAGGAGGAAGAGGAGCAGGAGGAGATGAGGAGCAGGAGGAGGAAGAGGAAGAAGAGGAGCAGGAGGAGAAGAGGAGCAGGAAGAGGAGGAGAAGAGGAGGAGGAAGAAGAGGAGGAAGAAGAGAAAGAGGAGAAGCAGGAGGAGGAAGAGGAAGAAGAGGAGGAGGATGACAACTCTGGGGTCCTTGGGGCTCTCCGAGTTTGGTTGTTTTTTTGCAGACGTTTCATGACCCAGCTAGAGAACATCATCAGTGCTGGAAGGGAGTGGGGGTTGCAGAGAGGAAGAAGCGGATTGTGGGGTGCTTTCTTGCCACACCTAAGTGAATCACTGCAGTTGTTAATAAAAGGGTTCTTAAGTGAATCTGGCTTCCCCATGGACTTTGCTTGTCAGAAGGTCGTGACCCCGACCTTCACTGCGACCGTCACAAATAGGAACCACTTGCCAAGCGTCTGACGTGACCCTGGGGATGCTGCAATGGTCGTTAAATAGGGAGAACGGTCCTAAGTCCCTTTTTTTCAGGGCCGTTGTAACTTTCGGGCGCTGTAAGTCGAAGAAGCACCTGCAGTGCAGGAAAATATTTGTGAATCACCGATTTAATTGTTTTCTGGCACTATGCCGGAGAGATCACTTTGGCTGCAAACAACTCCGGATCCCATTTTGCTCGGCATTCTGGAAAGGAACAGCCCCCCCCCACCCCTGTTCTCCAGGGAGGTCTCTTCCCAGACAGCAGCAGCAGCAATAGCCCCCCCCATCTACCCCCACCCCCCCAGTGATCTCACGCTGAATCACATTTGAGCCTTCCTCTCCCATCTGCCTGGTGTCTCTCAACAGCTACGCTGGGACAGGCATCCGAGGCAGCTCAGCCGCTGACAAATCGCTTCCTGATGCTGGGCTGGACAATAAAAATCCGAGTAGCAGACAAGAATATTAATCAAAAGCAGAGAAGGAGGGAGGGAGGGAGGGAGAAAGAGGGACGGAAAGAGAGAGAGAGAAGAGAGAGAGATAGACAAAGAGACTGACAGAGAGAGAGAGAGAGAGAGAGAAAGACAGATAGAAAGAGGGGGGAGAGAGAGAGTGAGAGAGAGAAAGAAAGGAAGGAAGGAAGGAAGGAAGGAAAGAAAAAGAAAGAAAGAAAGAAAGAAAGAAAGAAAGAAAGAAAGAAAGAAAGAAAGAAAGAGAGAGGAAAGAGAGATAGACAGAAAGAAAGAAAAAGAAAGAGAGAGAAAGAGCGTAGGAGAAAGAGACAGACAAAGAGACTGACAGAGAGAGAAAGAGAGAGAGAGAGAGAGAGAAAGACAGATAGAAAGAGGGGGGAGAGAGAGAGTGAGAGAGAGAAAGAAAGAAAGGAAGGAAGGAAGGAAGGAAGGAAGGAAGGAAAGAAAGAAAAAGAAAGAAAGAAAGAGAGGGAAAGAGAGATAGACAGAAAGAAAGAAAAAGAAAGAGAGAGAAAGAGCGTAGGAGAAAGAGATAGACAAAGAGACAGAGAGAGAGAAAGAAAATGAGAGAAAAAGAAAGAGAAAAAGAGAGGGAAAGAGAGATAAAAAGAGAAAGAAAAAGAAAGAGGGAGAAAGAGTGTGAGAGAAAGAGATAGACAAAGAGACAGAGAGAGAGAAAGAAAGTGAGAGAGAAAGAAAGAAAGAAGGACAGAAAGAGGGGAAGAGTGAAAGAGAAAGAAGAGAGAGAGATAGAAAGAAAGAAAGAGAGAGAAAAAGAGTGTGAGAGAAAAATAGACAGAGAAAGAGAGAGAGAAAGAAAGACAGAAAGAGGGGGTAAGAGAAAGAGGAAGAGAAAGGAGAAAGAGAGACAGAAAGAAAGAGAAAGAGAGTGAGAGTGAGAGATAGAGAGAAAGAAAAAGGGGGGAAAGGGAGAACGAGAGAGAGAGACAAACAGAGAGAGAGAGACAAAGACAGACAGAAAAAGAGAAAAAGGAGAACGAGAGAGAGGAAGAAAGTAAAAGAGACAGAAAGAGAGAAAGAGAACAAAAGAGAAAGAGAGAGAGAGATGGGTATCGTTGGTGCTTTCCTTCCCTCCCTTCTGAATCAACCATGGGGGAAAAAAATAATTTTCCAACCTGTGTTTCCCAACCTTTACCCATTTTAAGATGGGCGGATTTCAATTCCCAGAATCCCCCAGCCAGCCTTCTCTCTCCCTCTCTCTCTCTCTCTCCAGCCTCTCTTTCCCTCCAACTCTTTTTCTTGGAGGACCATGCATGAAAGATGGGGCTAACCGGTTGATTTTTAGGGGTGTCCGGGACTGGGCAGAGTTCACTGAATCCATGGCCGGATTTGGAGCTGGTTTGGGGGTTAAACCGGAGTCGGTCGACGGAGAGGGTTCATCCCATTGCAATTTGCAGACATCTATTTATATTTGGTCTGCCCAGATGTTATTGCAAGCTTAAACCAATTTTCTTTGCTCGCTTGCAAACCGCAGCCTTCTCGGAAAGGTGCCCCCAAGTGCCCTGCCCTCCCCCCCCTTTCCTATCTAGGGAGAGAGAGAGCGAATGACCCACATTCTGCCTTTGTCAAAACAAGACATCGCTTCTTTTTTTGTTTTTCCTTTTTAAGGGAAAAAAGTAGAACAAAAGGTTTGTCTGATTCTTTCCAAGAATCCGGGCTGTAAACAGGAGGAAAAGGCGGCTTTGGCTGCCCTCGGCTACGAAAGAACCTCCAAAACCAGCTGCAGCCAACCTCTTCAACGGCTGCAACCCTGGGCCCGGCATTGGATGATAAATTCAAATTTTAAAAATGGGATTGCTAATGTGAGTCAATAAAAAAAAAAAATTAAAAACTGAACTGGTGTAGTTCAGCAATAAACAATGGAGAGGTTTAACATTAAACCGATTATTTAATTGTTCAATGATGTATTACTGAAACAGTTTAATATAAACTATTATATTAATTATATGAATAGTTTATATTAAACTCATATCCTCCTCCCCTTCCCCACTCTGCAAAATAAATAAAAAAAACACCCTTCTAGCACTGATGATGTTACCTAGTTGGATCATGAAACGTCTGAATGTCTGCAAGAAAACAAACGAGCTCAGAGAGCACCAAGGAGCCCCACACTCTTCTTCCTCCTCCTCCTCCTCCTCCTCCTCCTCCTCACAATCCCCACTCCTCCTAGCACTGATGATGTTACTTACTTGGGCCATGAAACGTCTGCAAGAAACAACCAAGCTCAGAGAGCACCAAGGAACCCCACACTCTTCCTCTTCTCCTCCTCCTCCTCTTCCTCCTCCTCCTCCTCCTCACAATCCCCACTCCTCCTAGCACTGA